GTGGGGGGTGGGAGGCAGAGCAGAGCGGGAGCCAGAAGACCAGAGTTCTAATCTTTCCTCTCGCTCTGGCCTTCGGCTCTCTCCTCTATATAAGAAAAGGTTGGTGGCCCCTTCCAGTCCACCATCTCATAACTATATGTGTGTGATCAGACCCTACTGCACTTGGGCATATTTGGTTTGTAAGCCTGAACTTGTCACAGAAATGGGAACCTCTCTCTGGGGCCTGGCACGTGATAAAAAAAAAAAAGATGTTTGTGTTGTATTGGACTGTGATTTCACTGGTGTAAGGAACTCCTAGTGAAAAACGACCTCTACCAAAGACCCCAGCTGTACTGGGGACTGTTCTAGAGGGTCCTGGGCAGGGAGGGGGGAGGGGCACACTGAGAACTCAAGTGACTTGCACAGAGTTACACAGCCAGTGTGCGTCAGAGGTCTTCCTGATTTCAGAGCATTCTATACATGGCCTCATTGTTGTCTCTCAGATCAATAAGTGTTAAATGACTATTCTGTCTGAACCAGAAGGTATGGCATTCCAGAAAGGGAAGTCCTTAAAATTTTTCCACTTTGCTAACAGAATGATTCAAGAGTTGTTCTCCTGATCTCACTCAAAAATAACGATAAAAACAATATGAAGCAATTATTAAAAATTCTGAGAAAGTTAAAATTCATCAAAAACACTGTAAGTAAACTGGAGAGCAGCAATACAATTGTAAAAATGGCGTCAAGGAGTAGTCAAACCAACCAAAAACATTTATTTGGCATAAATTGTACTCTAGACAGTCGGCACTGATAAGACAAAAAAGGAAACAGTTCCTGCCCTTGAGGCATTTACATTCCATTGGAGTAAGAAAGAAAAAAGCACCAGGAGAAATAAATGCACACCAAATACAATCAGAAGTAACATCATAAACACTCAAAGACATCTCAAGCGATGCCCTCAAAAGGGTAAACATGCATTCAAGTAATTAAGGAATTAAAAGTAGTCACATACCGACTAATGAACAGAATTAAGGGAACAAGTGTATGTAAGAAATTTCCAGATAGGGAAGAACAACAAACTCACTGAAATGAAAATTTCGTATTGAATTTGAAAACATCAATGATCACTACAACAATGTGATCAGGCACAAAAAACAAAGAACAGAAACAAACCAACACTGAAAGAGGCATTACAGATATACAAAAGGGGCAGAAAATGCAGGAAAAAGAGAACAGAGGAAGGGGAAGGTGTAAAAGCAAAAAACTAAAGCAAAAAATTTGACAAAGGCAGACGTGGGAGAGGATGGGGTAAGGTGCAGAGACACTCAGTCATTCAAATGGATCTGACTCCTCCATCAGGATGTTCTCTCCAGCAAAGCAGACAGCAAGCTAAGCTTTGCAAGGAAGGTCCACATCCTCCTATTAGTTGTGTTGGGGTCTTCCTCACTTTTTCCAAACCGAGGGGACACCATTGTAGTACTCAGGCTGTCCACCTGTTTATCCCTTGACAAGCCCATCATTTCATATCCCATGTTTTCCTGACGATAACCTCTACTCCAGTTTTTAAAATTTTAATTTGTTAATAGCACAGCCTGTTCATCCTCACCTGTACCTCCCTACTGTCCTCTGGGGAATACCCATTTTTAATTCTTCTTAGATTGTTGTGTCCTTTGTCTCATAAGCATAACAACATTGATAGAATATGGGTAGTAAAAAAAAATGGGCTTTTGTTTCTGAGAGAAATTTAGTGCCATTAAAGGCACTTGGCTGACCTGTTTAATTCTAGGCCCGATCTGTTGCACATTTATTCTCTCTGCTCCAGACAGAGACAAGCTCTATGGGTAAGGTCTATCATCTATCCAATTGCATGCCACACACAATCTGGGCAATAGACATTTTTCATTCACCTACTTCTTCCTGTGCGGACTGTTAGACCAAACTCTATTGAGTAGTTACTGATTTCTTCTAGCAGGCATTTTAATGCAGCAAGCACAATATCATTTGAAAACAAACGTATCTGGAGTACCTTGCCGCCCTACAGGGTCCTATTTTTGATGCCTTGTCTTATCATGGATATGACTGTGTGACTAAAGGCTACAGAAGCAAAACGTAAGCTCTGATAGGTTTTACTATACTGGAAAGGCTTCAGAATGAGTCTGTTTCCTGAGGACCAGTCTAGCTAAGTAAAGAGACAGTCATCACCAAAGGGCTGGCCACTTGATAATAAAGTGTTTGGCCATTGGAACCCATGAAACTCACAGAGTTAAGACCACAAAATACAGAAAACATTGCTAGTGCCATTAACTTCATTTACTAAAAGAAATGGTAAAATAAAATTTACATTACTTTCTGACAAAACAATTTAACAAAAAGTTGATTAATCAAATTTAGTAATTGTACCTTTAAATATAATTGAATTGAAATTTCCCAACAAAAGGGGGGTGGGGTTATGTAACAGATACAAACAAAATAATGATTTTTTTCTGTAGAAAACACGTTTTTCATATTTTTCAATGGATCTGTGATGCCATCAGTGTGAATATGCCTTCCAATGATGCAGCTTGCAACTTGTCTTTGCTTGACTCTCCTTTATACCTCTTGTCCATGTCCTCCCATAATGCATTGGAGAAATGGGGGAGGGAGGAAGATATCCAATATGCCGATAGGTCTTCTACTTCTGTTAATATCACATGGATACTAAAAGAGCACCTAGGTTGCCCATCAGTGATCCCTCACTCTCTGGACATAACCAGTCCAATTTTAAAGGTCATATTTCTTTGATGACATCTTTTATGCCACCTATTTGTGCAATTCCTCATTTGTAGTGAGCTCCAGATGGATGGCTGGACAAGATCATCTGGCAATCCAGTTTATTACGTACAAAGAAGACCTACGCTAGCAGTGATGATTTTCAGGACTACTGAAAGATTATTTATTCTTAAGATATCTGAAAGAGGGGAGAATAGCAAATATGGGACAACAGGGGGAGGAAAACTCAGCCCTTATCATTAACCCCCCAAAAAGACAAATGAGAAGATGTTAGTAACTACTGATCCAGATGCCTACCTTCCACATCTATGAAATCTTCACACACAGGAAGTGTCTTGGATGAAGGTATAAGAAGGGAATGGTCAGGCTTTAACAAGTGAAATTCCACAGCATACCATATCGTTACAGTCACACAACTAATTGAAAGATGGAAAGTAAGATTTCACTGTCATGGTGGTTGTTGTTGTTCAATTGTTTCAGTCATGTCTGACTCTTTGTGACCCCATCCAGGGTTTCCTCGTCAAAGATACTGGGGTGTTTTTCCATTTCCTTCTCCAGCTCGTTTTAGAGATGAGGAAACTGAGGCAAACAGGGTTAAGTGACTTGCCCAAGGTCACACAGCTAGTTAAGTGTTTGAGGTTGGATTTGAACTCAAGTCTTCCTGACTCCAGGACAGGCACTCTATCCATTGCACCACATAGTTGAGTAGAGCAATATGCTACCCATCTTAAAAGCTTTACTCAATCAAGGTGTATCCCATGCTTTTGTTAAATTCACATAAGATTCCTTGAAAGATGTAGAAAATGTTGTTCAATAACCCTCTTGTTCTTAATGTTGAGGGAAGCATAAGTAAGATTGAGCTAGAATCCTGCCCTAGACATTTACTGTGACCCTGGACAAATCACTTAACCTCTCCTAGCCTCAGTTTCCTCATCTGCAAAATGGGGATAACATTCACCTCACAGGGTTGTTGTGAAGACCAAATGACGTAATATATGTAAAGTGCTTTGCAAAATGGTTAAAGTGTGACATGAATGTTAGCTATTATATTAATTTTATGTTATGAAGAAGATTGCCCACAGTTCAGACTCGTCCAGGGAAGGGACTGTCCTTTGCCTTTCCTTGTTGTCTCTCCTCTCAGAGCAGAGCATTGGAGAGTGGAGGAATAAATTCCACCCAACGTCTTACTTTAGTAGAGGGCTCCAAATTTTCAGGACTCTCCAGGTAAATTCTCTATTTTCCATCAGCAGCCCAGGTTAGTTTGGACTTCCCAGAGCCTCATCTCCTTCATCCCACCACATTTCTTTTGTGAGTTGTCTTTCCCTATTAGATTGTAAGCTCCTTGAGGGCAGGGGCTATCTTTCTTTTTCTTATTTGTATTCCAAGTGCTTAGCAAAGTGCTGGGCACATTTCTGTTATTTGTAGTTGAGTTCTTTCAGTCCTGTCCAACTCTCCATGACCCCATTTGGGGTTTTCTTGGCAAAGATGCTGGACCGGCTTGCCATTTCCTTCTCCAGGCCTGGCACATAGTAGGCACTTAATAAATATTTATTGACTAGCTATGATATGTAGTTGAATAAACAGTCCATTAAGCTGGTCCCCTGAGTGCATATAGTTTGGACAGAGACTGCCAACAGAAATGAGCTGGGTCCACAAAGAGCAGGAGGTGAATAGGTTGAATTGATTTTGGCAAACTGGTGGTTATTTTTAGGATCCCAAGTTGCTCCCCAACACAAAAGCTTGCCTTTCAAAGCTAGGATCGTAGCATGGCTATCAGTCATGGAATACCAGAGTCTCTGAAGGTCTAAAGGTAAATATCACCTTGGGTGATACTGGAACAATGGGGAGGTGCATGGTGAGAATGAGAAGAAAGGTGAACTGATGGAAAATAGATGCATATGTGTGTATGTATACATACATACATACATACATACATATACATACAGATTGTAGATTGAAAAGGTCAACCTAAATCCATCCTAATACAGCTAAATTTGAGAAAATATGTAGTTATGTTGACTATAACTAACCAAGTCGAATTTAATCCAGAACACATTAATGGAGAAAGACAAAGAAATTTTATCACATTGAAACATATCAGTGAAAATAGCATATTAACTTTATGCATCAAATAATGAAATAATTAAATTTGCAGAGAAAAGCAAGTTTTTAAAAGGAAATTAATAAAAGATTTCAACACACCACTATTAGAAGGCAATAAAACAAAGATAACAAAGAAAGGAACCACAGACTTGAACACTAAGAAACTGAATTTAATAAATCTATAGGAAAAAAATTTAATGAAAAAAGCAAGGAACATATTTTTTTCCCTCCTCAGTAGATGTGGAACATTCATAAAAATTGATCATGTCGTTGATTATAGCAAAGTCCCAGGTACATTTAGAAAGGTGAAACTTTTAATGGACAGTAATTCAATAAAACTAGAAACCAGAAACAATAATATAGAGGGAAAGTAATAGGTATTTTTGGAGATTAAAAGAAATAATTTATTAAACCTTGCCTGGGTTAAAAACGAAGTTATAAAAATAACAGACTACTTAAAAAATAATAACAATATAAATACTGTGTATTACAAAACATGATCTATACTTAGAGGGCATTTTGTATTGGTGTTTAACAAAAGGGGAAAAGAAACAATGAATTAAATCTACATTTAAAGAAAACAGAAAAGAAACAAAACAACACACAGGAAAGTGGAAAAGAGGGGTCAGAGGAGAAATTAATAGAGGACAAAACCAACTGAAATGACAAACAACCAAGATGGAAACAACTGATAAATAACTAGCAAATGCAATAAAAAAAACTCAACTTCACCAAACTAAAATTGAAAAATCACAGTAAACACAAAATAAAGCAGCAGGGGATTACTATACATAAAATTATGCTAACATATTTGATGATAAGGATAAATGTCTACAAATAAATTTTTAAAAAAACCCCAACTCAGGGGAAAAAGAGAACATAGGTATGCTACACAAACCAATTTCAGAAAGAGAAATGACTGTTCATGAGCTTCCCTGTAAAAAGGCACTGGATTCCAAAAACTTAAGCAAATTATCTGAAACCATCAAAGAACAAGTTATCTATAATGTAGACAAAGTTTCTATGGTAATTCTTCTCATGGGGCAAATGTAGTTTTGATACACAATTTCACAAAAGTAAAGATAAAAAACAAATTACAAGCCAATGTCACGAATACTGATTTGAAAACACTAAATGACTACAAAATAAATACATCAATATTCCCACCCCCCATCCCCAAAAGTCATTACAATCAAGTAGGAGTGTTATCAGAAATACAAAAGATGGATGATTCAATATTGGGAAATCAAAATCATACCACACAACAAAAAAATCCTTTAAAACCAATAATCTTACCAATAGTTAAAATTCCATCAAACAGAGCTGTCTAAATAAAAGACTGCATCTGTTTATGAATGTTTAAAAAGCATTCAAAAGTACAACAGAAAGAGTTTTTCCTCAATACGATAAAAAAGTGTCTATTTGAAACCAAACGCTACCAGCATAGGCACCACAATGTGAATGATAACGACTTCACGTTAAGGTAATTCCCAATAAAAACAAGATGAAACCAAGTTTGTCCATTTTCATTCATTCTATACGACAGTTGTAGAAATGTTAACAATAAAGAATGGGGAAGAAATTAAAGAATATGCATTGGCAATGAAAACACTTCAAAAACCTCTACTTTCAAGAGACTAAACAACAAAATGAGAGATAATTAATGCAAGGTAGTGCTATATAACATAAAACCTATTCTGCATTCTTATGTATCACTTACAGAACACAAGAAAAATTGAAAGACAAACATGTCCAACATTTGTTCACAATTACTTATCAATTACCTACCAAGAAATATTTAACACCTACATTTAAAGATAACTTTTAAATGATTTGACTAAATTGAGTAATTGTCTTCAGCATACATAATGCTTCTTAAATTAATTTATATCTATTCAATGTAATCCCAATCAAAATACTGATGAACTATGTATATAATTTGATAAAAGGCTGACAAAATGTAACAGAGGTCAAGAATATTAAAGACAACTGTGAACCATAATAAAGTCAGTGAAGAGGAACTGACCCTCCCAGAATACAAAATATATTATACAGTGGTAATTATTTCTAACTATATAGTACTAGATGTAAAAAAAAGAACAAACAATGGAACAGAACAGAGAATCCTAAATAGAACCAAATATGTATCAGAGATTGGAATTTGATAAAACCCAAGATCACAAAACAATAGTGAAGAGAGTCACTAGTTAATAAAAAAGATGGGGAAAGTTGAATAACAGTTCAACAACAAAATGGTAGAAAGCACCACCATAAATTTTAACTGGATTAGCAATCTAAACATAAATCATTGGAAATTTTTGAAAGAAAAAAATAACATTTTTATCTCAAGCAGAGGAGAAAATGTTCTAATTATCAAATAAACAGAAGTGACTTTTGGAAACAAAATAAATTACTTGAGAATATAAAAATGAAAAGATTTTGCCTAAGAAAAAGCAAATTAGCCATGATTTTGTTGGTGAAGAAACTCCCAGTCCATAGCTCCTGACTTGGAAAAACTACTGTACAGCCAAAGTGGTGGGGAGGGCCTCCAAAATTATCGAGGCTGATCGTCAGATGACAGACGTCCAGTCTGCTGTCCGGGCCATTTGAAGCTTTTTCTGGTTGATATTTCCTGTCAAAGTATGGATTTCACTGGCATATCCTTCAGGGAACTAGGTCATCTCTGCACCACAATAAAGTATAAGAGGAAGTACTTCAGTGAAAATTGTGGCAAATATTTGATAGAGCAAGCATCTGACATTTAGAATCTACTGATACAAACTTAAAAGGAAAAAGTACCCATTCTCCAAAAGATTAAGGATAGAATCATAGATATGGAGCTGGAAGGGACCTTCAAAGGTAATCTAGACCAACCCCCCCCCCCATTTTACAGACAAAAGAGCTGAAGCCTAGAGGTGGGACTTGCCTGAGGGGAATGGATGTAGCTACTGAGTGGTATGGCTAAGATTTGAATCCAGGTTCTCAACTCCAAATCCAACTAGCTTTTCCCCTCCCACACTGCACAATTTCTTAATGGTTCAGGGATATAATTGACATTTTTGAAAGAGGTAGCACAAATTCTTCTCTTGTTTGACCCTCCTGAATGTCTTTTGCTAGATCTTTACCTTGGTCGCACCTGCTCTGTCTATCCCCCAGTGCTCTGTCCTGCGTTATTCCTCTCTTCTCCTTTTATATTATTTTGCTTGATGATCTCATCAGTTCCCACAGACTCAATTATCATCTCTATGCAAATGATTCTCAGATTTAGTGGACCCTAAGCTCCCTACTGACTTCTGGTCTCATAGCTCCAGCTGCTGGCTGGTTATCTCAAACTGGATGTCCCACAAATGTCTTAGACTTATACAAAACCAAACAGTATCTTTCCCCCAAGCCCTTCTCTCTTTGGACTTTCTTATCATTGCCAAGGGGGTCACAATATTCCCATTTACCCTAGGTGTCGTCATCCCGTCTTCTCAGCTCTCTCAACCCCCACATCCAGTACATTACAGAGCCCTTTCCATTCTACCTTCTAAACGTCTCTTCTACCTACCTGATTCTTTCCTCTGACATTGCCTGATGTAGGTACTCATCACCTCACACCTCAAGTCTCTCCTCATCCCAGATCTATACTCAGCTGTCAAATCGACTTTTTTGTTGTTGTTGAAGCAATTGGGGTTAAGTGACTTGCCCAAGGTCACACAGCTAGTAAGTGTCTGAGCCCAGATTTGGCCTCCGGTCTCTCGACTCCAGGCCTGCTGCTCGATCCACCACTGTGTCACCTAGCTGCCCCTTATCAAACTGATTCTTCAATAAACACAGGTCTGCCCATGTCATGTCCCTTATTCAATAAACTCCAATGGCTCCCGTTACTTTCTGGATCAAACATAAAAACACTTTTTGGTTTTTAAAGCCCTTCATAATCTGGGGCCTCCATATCTTTCCAGGCTTCTTTTATCTCATTCACCCTCACGTGCTTGTGACACAGTGATGTCGGCCTTCTGGATGCTCTTTGTTAATGATGCTCCACGTCCCAACTCCCAACATTTCCATTTGCTGTTTCTCATACCTAGAATGCTCTTCCTTCTCTTGGCTTCCCTGGCTTCCTTCAAGTGCCAGATAAAACACCACCTTCCACATGCCTTTTCCCCATCTCCCTTCATGCTGGTGTTTTCCCTCTTAATTATCTCCAAATTATCTTGTCTATCTCTTGTTTGTACACAGCTGCTTGCATGCTGAAACCCTTATTGCAAGCGACTAATGACTCAGTAGAGAGAGCAATGGGCCTGGAGTAAGGAACCCCTGAGTTCAACTCTGGCCTTGGATACTTAATGGCTGGGTGATCCTGGGCAAGTCACTCAACCTCTGTCTGCCTCAGTTTCCTTGGCTATAGAGATAATAATAGCACGTACCTCACAGAGTTTTTGGGAGGATCAAATGAGATAATATTAAAAAATGCTTAGCACAGTACCTGGTTCATAGTAGGGGCTATATAAATATTTGCTCCCTTCCCTTCTCCCTCCTCATTAGACTGTGAGCTCCTTGAGGCCTGTTTTTGCCTTTCTTTGTTGTCCACGGCATCTAGTAGAGTTGCTTGGCACATAATAGGTGTTTAATAAATGCTTCCTTGACTCGACTTCAGTTTGATCCACAATTTAACTTAGTGTGCTTACTCCATCCTTCAATGCCAGTGAAACTCCCTCTTGGCCTCTTCTGCCTTCATTTTGTCTGCATGTTTCCATAAACCTTCCACAGAGGATCCACCCAACACACTGGGTAACGTTTTCTCATTCTTTGAAGATCTTATGCTGCCAACATTATACTTGGTCGGTCCTACCGGTCTATTCAGACCCACTGAGCATCACCAGGAGAAAGTTGGTATTAAGAAAATGGGCTTCTATACTAGAGAGCATAGGAATAAATGAAGTTTTCCTTAAAATTATAAGCAGTATTTATCTAAAACCATCAGAAAGAATTGTATGTAATGGAGATAAGCTATAAGTATACCCAATAAGATCAGGGTTGAAACAAGAATGCCCATTATCACCACTATTATTCAATATTGTACCAGAACTGTTAGCTTTAGCAATAAGAGAAAAAGGAAATCGAAGGATTTAGAACAGGCAATGAGGAAATAATGCAGATGATATGGTGATATACTTAGAGAATGAAATAAAAAACTACTTGAAACAATTAACAACTTCAGCCTAGTTGCAGGATATAAAATTAACCCACATAAATCTTCAGCATTTCTATATATTACGAACAAAGCCCAGCAGCAAGAGATAGAAAGAAAAATTCCATTTAAAATAATTGTAGGCAATATGAAATATTTTGTAGTCTACCTGTCAAGACAAACTATATGAACACAATGACAAGTAAAGTCAGATAAGTTAGATAAGTAAAGTCAGACCTAAACAACTGGAAAAAGTGTAAATTGCTCATGGGAAGCCCAAGCTAATATAATAAAAATGACATTCTACCTAAATTAATTCACTTATTCAGTGCCATACCAATCACATTACCAAAAAATTATTTTATAGAGCTAGAAAAAATAATAACAATTTATCTGGAAGAACAAAAAGTTAAGAATATCAAGGAAACTAATGAAAAGAAATGTTAGGGAAGGTGGCCTAGCCATACCAGATCTTTAACTGCATTATAAAAACTACTTGGTACTGGCTAAGAAATAGACTGGTGGATCAGTGGAATAGGTTAAGTATGCAAGACACAGTAGTCAATGACTATAGTGATCTACTGTTTGATAAATTCAAAGACTCCAGCTTCTGGGATAAGAACTCACTATTTGACAAAAACTGCTGGGAAAACTGGAAAAGAGCATGGCAGAAACTAGGCACAGACCAACATCTCACATCTACCAAGATAAGGTCAAAGTGAGTATGAGATTTAGACATAAAAGATGATGCCATAAGCAAATTAGGAGAGCAAGAAATAGTTTACCTGTCAGATCTACGAAGAAAGGAAGAGTTTATAACCAAACGAGATAGAGAACACTATGAAATGCAAAATAGATAATTTTGATTACATTAAAAGTTTTGGCGCAAAGCCAATGCAACCAAGATTAGAAGGGAAGCAGAAAGCCAAGAAATAATTTTTACAGCCAGTGTTCCTGATAAAGGCCTTATTTCTAAAATATATAGGGAACTGAGTCAAATTTATAAGAATACAAGTCATTCCCCAATTGATAAATGGTCAAAGGATACGAACAGGTAGTTTTCAGATGAAGAAATTAAAACCATCTATAGTCATATGAAAAAATGCTCTAAGTCACTATTGATTAGAGAAATGCAAATCAAAACAACTCTGAGGTACCACATCATACCTATCCAATTGGCTAATATGACAGAAAAGGAAAGTGAAAAATGTTGGAGAGGATGTGGGAAAACTGGAACACAAATGCATTGTTGGTGGAGCTGTGAACTGATCCAACCATTCTGGAGAGCAATTTGGAACTATATGCAACGGGCTATAAAATTGTACATACCCTTTGACCCAGAAATACCACTTCTAGGACTGTATCCTAAAGAGATCATAAAAAAGGGAAAAGGACCTACACATACAAAAATATTTATAGCAGCTCTTTTTGTGGTGGCAAAGAATTGGAAATTGAGGGGATGCCCGTCAATTGGGGAATAGCTGAACATCATGTGGTATACAAGTGTAATGAAATACAATTGTTCTATAAGAAATGATGAACAGGCGGATTTCAGAAAAACCTGGAAAGACTTGTATGGACTGATGGTAAGTAAAGTGAGAAGAACTGGGAGCATGTTGCATACAGTAACAGCAACATTGTGTGATGATCAACTATGATAAACTTAGTTCTTCTCAGCAACACAATGATCTAAGACAGTTCCAAAACACTAGTGATAGAAAATGCTATTCACATCCAGAGAAAGAATTATGGAGTCTGAATATGGATCGAAATACACTATTTTCACTTTTTTTGTTCTTTTTTTTTCTTTTCTCTTTCATGTTTTTTCCCTTTTGTTCTGATTCTTCTTTCACAACCTGAGTAATGTGGAAATACATTTAACATGATTGTAAATGTATAACCTATTTCAGATTGCTTGCTGTCTTGGGGAGGGGGGAAGAAAAATTTGGAACTCAAAATCTTACAAAAATGAACGTTGAAAATGATCTTTACATGTGATTGGAAAACATAAAATACTATTAAGTAAAAAAAAAAAGAAAGAAAAAGAACATGCAGTAACAACAGCAAGAATCTAAGATCAAGAAAAGCAATGGGCAACTTTCAGAATGTCATGTGGCCCAATCTCCCTCATCCCCCTTGATTCTAAACCCAGCTCACTGTCTATCTAGGACCTTTTGTGTAAGTGAATACCTCAAGCCCCAAAATTTCAGAGTTGTGAGGTGTGTCAGAGACCATTCAGACATTCATTCATTCACATACATGCCAAGTACTTAAATAAGTGCTGAGGATACAAAGACAAAAGGGACACTCTCCCCTCAACCCCCAGGAGCTTACCCCCTTCTATTGAGAGGTGAGGTGAAGGGAGCAACACATACACAGAGATTAAGTTAAATTTTTTTAGGTAATAGGATAGAAGTAGTGGGAAGTGGGGGTGGGGTGGGTGTGTGGAATCAGACTCTGATTTACAAAGGGGTATTTAAGGTGAGCCTTGAAAGGAGCTGGGGGTTCTACTAGGTGGAAGCAAGACTGGTGTATTCCAGGGAACCAATCAGCCAACGGAAAAGAATGGAGAAAGAAGATAGAATGACTGTAGGAAGAACAATGAATTGCCCCACTAGTCCAATTTATATATGAATAAGGATGTTCTCTAAAACATACTCAAATAGGCAAAGCCTTTTAGTGAGGAAAAACTCAATAACTGTACAGGGCACAAAGCTGGTAAATAGATTATAATGTCTTTGAGATGTCACCTTATACTCAATGTAGGCAAAACTTTGGACAAATAGGTATGTCATTACACTGCTGGTGGAACTATAAATTAGTGCTACCTTTTTGAAGGACAACAGACAGTAAGACTAAGTAAAACTGATTATACACTTTGTTTCAGTAGCTGCCCACTGCTCAGGATTATGTCCTAAAGGGGTAATTACATACGAGAAAAGACCTGTACATACAAAATATATTCATGGATGATATACATAATAGCAAAAAAGTAGAAACCTCTACATCTAATAACTGTAGTCTACCAAGGTGGTGAAATAGCAGACCATAAAAATGAAAACTACACATATATACATATATATTTTCCCCATATACACATTTATATATACAAATATAATTTTATACACACACACTATATATATATATATACACACATGTGTATACAGACATACAAACACAATTTAAAATATATGTACACATATAATTTTCTATATACACTATATATACAAACACACAATTATATATCTATATACACATACAATTTTATACACACACACACACACACACACACACACACACACAGACTCTTATTCTGTCTCCCTGTGCAGAGACTGCTTTAGGTCAACTAGGAAGATGGGATCCTTGATGGTCATATCCTGGACTTCTAATGATAAGGACAGACTGATATACACACACACACATGAAAACCCTAGACTTCAAATGTTGTTTTCTACATGCTAATCTGTCATTTTCTTTTTTGAGAAAACTGACAGGAAATTTCAAGCCTCTTCTTCAGAAAGGGGCATGGCTGTTTTCTCAGAAAACAGCCAAGAAGCCAAGCTTGGGGAAGGGAAAGGGGGATTTCTAGCCAACTGGTTCACAAATGCTCTTCTCACACTTCAGTGTTGAAAAACCAGCCTTCGATTGTAAATAACAGGAAAAAGACAAAAAACAGATGGTTCAAGGCAGTTTCCATAGAACGTTGTGGTTACAGGAAGCAAGCAGCACGTCCCTTCTTCAGCCACACAGCTTCTGCTGTTCCACGAACCTTGAAGACCCCTGAGTTGGAGCTCACCATGATATTAAATGAGTATGGTCTTACGCCACCGCTCCCTGGTAATGCCCATCAGGCTACGACCTTCGGGGACCGAGTGTCCTCCTACTCTCTAAATCTTTTCCTTTTCTCATGTCTAAAAATAACTGGAGGAAATTTTATTTGGCCAAAGTTTAAGACACTGCATATTCTTGAACTTTAATTTGCACGGTTTACTTGGCGCAGTTGTGTACTTGGAACTTAAAAAAAAATAATTAGAGGGAGCCATGGAAATGACTAAGTGAAGCTTCCTGCTAATGGAGCCATGATGAGGGACCTTAGGTTTCAAGCAGCCACAGAATCACAGAAGGTCAGAGCTATCAGAGACCTTAGAAATCACCTAATCTAATACTCTTTTAACATAGGAAACCAGCCTAAGTAGATGTCAAGGATACAAGTAACTTCTACAATCAGAAATTTAGGTAAGTAGTGACTGGAATAAGAGGCAGCATGGTGTGAGGGGTAGAGCTGGACTCGGTATGGAATAAAAAATGAGTGAAAAAAATTTCATGAAGCACCTACTTTGTGCAAAGCACTGTATTTGCATGCTGTGGATACAATAAGAAAAGCAAGACAGTCCCTGTTCTCATGCACCTCACATTCTTATATGGCAAGACAACACATAGGAGTTTTCAGCCCCCAGTCAGATGACTCCCAAGGCAGTCAGGTGGGGCAGTGGATAGAGTACTGGGCCTGGCCAGAAGAACTGAATTCACATCTGGCCTCAGATACTTACTAGCTGTGTGACCCTAGGCAATTCACTTAATTCAATCTGCCTTGCCTTCCTCATCTATAAAATGGAGAAGAGAATAGCACCTCCCAGAGTTGTTGTCAGGATCAAATTAGAGTATCTGTAAAGAGCTTAATACATTCTTGTTCCTTTTCCCTTCTCTTACCCCTACAAACATGATCCTTAGGATACAAGAAGCCGTGGGTTCAAGTCTTGCCTCTGAGGTATACTAGCTGTGTGAACCTGGATATGCCACTTAATCTCAAAGTGCCTCTAGGTGGCTCAGACTATGAAATGAAGAAATGACATCAATCTGCTCTGGTAGGCAAAGTTCTTAACCAGGAGCTTCCTATGCCAATGAAATCAAAGAGCCAGTAAAAAAGAAGAAAATGTGATAAAAAAAAAAACAAATACACACGTACTCTAGGCATGGTGGCCCTGGCTAGTAACTCCTGCCACAGGAGAGGTGGAGGCTGCTTAATCGTTTGAGTTTGGGAGTTCAAGGGTACAGTGAGTTAAGCTGATCCAATGTCCTGACTAATGATAGGGTGAGTACCTGGGAACAGGGAGGTACCAGAGCATCTAAGGAGGAGTGAACTGGCAAGACTGAGTCAAAGCTCCCTGGCCAATCAGCAGGGATGAGGTCTACCCAGGGAGTGCTGCACTTCCAGCCTGGGTAAGAGAGAGACCCATCCTCTAAAAAGGGAGGAAGAAAAGGAAGAAGGGAGGGAAGGAGAAGGAAAGGTGGGAAGGAAGAAAGGAGGAAGGCAGGGAGAGAAATGGAAGGACAGGGAAGGAAGAGGAAGGGAGGGAGAAAGGAAGGGATAACAGGAGGAGAGAGTTGAAAATAAGGGAGAGGCAACAATTGTTCCAGTCAATTATCATCTTTACATTTTTCTTGTTGGAGAATTTAGTATCTACCATTTATTTGACCCTTCACATTCAACTTTGATTATTTTAGGTGTGTTTGACTTACAGGAAGATAGATTTAGAACTAGAAGAGATTTGAGATATAATATTATACACATATGTATATATATATATATATATATATATATATATGTACATACCCATATATATATAAATACATAATCCAATCTCCTCGCTTAACAGTAAAGAAACCACATTAATTGCCTTGTCCAAGGTCATAAAGCCAGTAAGTACTAAAGCTGAAATTCAAACTCCTTCCAGGACTCTAAACCTAGCCAGAATCACAAAGCTGAGCCACAATTTCCTTCAACTCGGCTTTAAGTCTCTTGAAGGCAGCAGGTACCATGCCGTGGACATCTTTACATCTTCACATCTCCCACAGAGCCTGGCATAATGCTAGGCCAAGGCAATCAAATGATGACTGATGGATTTAACATGAAATATAATTTAATAGAGTTAGTTGCATTTGAAAGACAAGTCGTCACAGAGGCTTATTCCCTACTAGGCACAGGTTTGAAGTTCCTGTAGCAGTTATCTGGTTTGGGTTGTAAGCCTTCAAAAGCAATCAGTTGCCAATCAAGGGGAATTTGCTGTGGGTTATCCAGGAGGCAGGCAATGAAGCTGCCACGTAGCCCATGAGTCTGCATAGGCCAGAAATTCACTCATGGGTACTCTCTGGTTACTAATTTAGCACTTTTTTTTTCTTAAACACAGAATCCAGGAAAATCAACTCAATAACTATTCAACATTGAACCAAAGAGTTAAAGTGAATTGTTCCTTAGCATTTTTGAGAAATGTGCAAATAATTCAACTACTGGGTTAAGGGAGTGGGGGGTGGGGAGAGTAGCAATATCTAAATACATATAGTGTAAATTTTTACAACTTTTTTGAAATGATTAGAAAATTTATAGATTTGGAGCTATACTACTCAGGCCATCAAAGAGATTATTTTATAGAGCGAGATAAAATAACAAATTCATTTGGAAAAACAAAAGGTCTAAACCTCAAGGAAAAAGAATGAAAAAAGGAGGGATAAAAAAGGAATAGCATTTATTATGAAGCAATAATTATCAAAACTATTCAGTATTTTTTTAAAGTAAAGCAGATCAGCGTAATTAATCAAATAACCACCAAGAACCAGAAACAAAGATAGTAGCCTAATGTTTGATAAAAGGAAAGGAAATAAAAAAATTTATTTTTTGTTTTATCCATATCTAAAACCGCTTGGAAAACTGGAAAGCAGATTGGCATAAAACTGCTTTGGATCATTAGAATTATTCAAAAAGTGGCTATAATATCCACATCTTTTTACTCAGAAATTCCACTGCTAGGTATATAACCCAAAGAGGTAAATGAGAAAAAAGAAAGGCTCTAAACACACAAAAATATTTATAGCAGCATATTTTCATGACAGCAAAAAACTAGAAACAAAGTAGACAGCCATCATTTGAGGAACTATTAAACAATTTTACACATGGCACACATATGTAATGGAATATTACTATGCCACAAAAAAAAAAACATGAATACAGAGAGAAGCATGTAAAGACTTCCATGAATTGATGCAAAATGAAGCAAGCATAGCTGGGGGGGGGGAATATACATACATACATATATATGTGTGTGTGTGTGTATATGTATATGTATATATACATATGTGTGTGTATATGTATGTGTGTGTGTGTATATATATGTATACAATTACAACAATGTAACTGGAAAGCTACCACAAAACAATAAAAAAAACTAATGTTGCAATATCACAAAGGATAAACCTGGTTCCAAAGAAAAGATAGAAGACATGTCTCCTAACTCCTCTGAAGAGGTGGGGACCCACAGGTGTGGAATTTCACATTTAATATTAGATTTGTTTCATCTTTCAAAAAACCTCTTTGTTATAGGGAAAAAATTTAAGTGATATCAAAACAAAAGATACAATAAAAATCTATTTTTAAAAACTAAAGTAGATCAGTGGAATAGATTAGGAACCAGAAACAACTGAATGGAGCAAATCCAAGCACAAAAACAACTAAGGAAAGGAATCACTGACAAGAACAGCTAGAAAAATCAGAAAGAAGTCTGACAAAAATAGCTTTAGACTAGGAGTTTTTAAATTTTAATCTGTGACATGGTCCCATTTGGCAGTCTGGTAAAACGTATCTACTGCTCAGAAGAATGTTTTGTTGCTTACATTTATGATGGAAGGAAATGCCAAATTTCAGTTAGAAGTTAGTGACAGTAAAGATGAACTTTTTTGGGAGCCAAGTTCACAGATTCCCTGAAATCTAACCACAGATCACTTGGAAGTCAATGAACCCTGGACTAAGAACTCATGCTTTAGACTAATATTCTACACCACATGCTATAACAAATTCCAAATGGATAATCTGCCTAAAGAGTTGATTCATAAAAAAAAAAATTACCGGCAAAGGGAAGAAGGTACCTTTCACAACTATGGCTCGGGGGAGAATTCTTAGAGATAGCGGTGATAATAACAGGGAACATTAACAATTTCAAATACATAAAATTTAAAGCTTTTGCACAAACAAAATCAATACAGTTAGGGTAAGAAGACTAAAAGTTAAAGGGAAAAAATCTTTACATCAACTATCTCTGTTAAAAGTCTAATATCCAAAATACAGAATTGACTCAAATATATAACACCAAGAGCTATTGCTCAATATTTAAGAGGCCAATACCTAACAACTATCACCGATCTCAAAATAAAAATTGTAAATTATCACCAACCACGTGCAACATTGTTCCAAATCACTAATAAGTAATACATAAATAAAAACAATTCTGAGGTCTGACCTCACAACTATCAAACTAAAAAAAAATGGCAAAGGTGGACCTATGAATTGGTTTAATCATTCTGGAAAACAATCTGGAATTATGTGAGAAAAAGTCAATAAATCATTCATACCCTGTTATTAAGAGATCCCATTATAAGAGTTCAAAGACACCAAGATAAGTCTCACACGCACAAAAATATTAACAGCAGCAGTTTCTGTAATCAGAAAAAACAAAACCAAACCAGGAAATGAAGTGGGTGCCCATCAAATGGGGAGTACCTGATAAAAACTGGCATATGAATATAAAAGAATGGTGCTAGTGCTTAGCACAGTGCCTGGCACATAGGCCCTTAATAAATGCTTATTGATCGTTATGCTATAACAAATAGCCAACATAAATAATTCAGAGAACCTCGAGATTTTATGAACTGACACAGAATAAAGAACGCGCACAATAACATAATGTAAATGAACACTAAAACAAAATCGAACGCCGTATAACTAATTAGCAATCTTGGCCAAGGAGAAGAGACAAGGAAAAGCGCTGCCCTCCTTTCAGTAGCAAGGTGGGGGACCATGAGTCCAGAATGTTACATATGCTGTCAAATTCAGTGTTCGACCAAAGCTTTGCTAAATTACTTTTCTGTGTCACAAAGGAGGACCCACAGTTAGGGGTGAGGAGGCTGGGACATGTATTTTGAGAAGTAACAGGGCTGGACAAATATAATCAATACAACATGATAATAATAACAACTAGAATAACCTTACTTTTTGGCTGGGCCTTCATTTCTCAAATGTAAAATGAGGCAGTAGAACTAAATGGCCTTTAAAGTCACATCCAGCTCAAATACTTTGATCCTATTGTCCTCAGAGTGGGCATGGTAGAATGATGGGATCATAAATTTGGCATTAGAAGAAACCTCATACATTAACTAGTCCCAGCTCCTCAACTTCACAACTGAAACCTTGAGTCAACTTTGACCCACAGGACACAGCAGATGCTATAGCACTGTTGCGAAAAGATTGGAACCACCTTCCCTGCCCCCTGCGCCCCAGAGCTTCTTATGCATCACTATTTATTTATAGCAGCAAACTTGGATGGGTGTTTCTTTAGTAGTTTGCACTTTTTCAGTAACACCAAGCAAGTATTTTGTATGCCTCTGGTGCCATGATGCATGGAGTTCAAAGAGCCATATGGGGATGGCTTCAGAAGTAGGGTCTTCAACTGACAAGAGTCTCAGAAATATAGCAGGGTTTTGATCAGAGCAGACTATTGCTGGACCAGAACAACAATTCCTGTAATGTCAGATGACTAACCCAGAATACTCATCTCCAAGCCTCTCAATCAAGTCCTCCAGCACATTCTTAAAGCAGCAGACAAGAGACACATGAGCTTTCACTTCTTTTCCCATCATCCCCACATCTCCCTGAGGGCCAAAGTACTGCTCAGGAACCAAAAAATTACCCTGAAGTGGGCATTTAAGTAGGAGTAGTGATAAGGGATTTGGATAACACGTGGTTCCTCTTAAGCTAGATTAATGAACAGACACGTATCGAGACTAGCATATTTACAAGGCTTGACATGGTAGCAATCACCGTTTCAACATGGATCTAATCTATCAACAATTTAACTTTTTTAAATAAAAAAAAGATGCTGAAAGAAAGGTGTTGGCCAGTACCTCCTCCCTCAATGCAGAGGTAGAAGACTCCAAGGGCAGAATATTGTACATGCTGTCATAGAGTCTCCATGCTGGATATTTTTGCTTAATTGCTTTCCTTTGGCACAATGGAGATTCTAAAGTGGAGGAGCCGAGTGGGGAAATGACTGACATAAACACAAAAAAAGTCAATAAAACATTTTTGAAAGCTGTTGGCTGCAAGTTGAGGGGGTCAGACTAGAAGGTCTATGAGGCTTCTTCTAGTGTTAAACCTGTGATCCCATCATTCCCTGAAGGAAGTATGCACTACTCCAAGGACAAGAGCTCATTTAAACAGGAAACATGATTTAGATTGGAACAAGAAGTTAGTGACCTCATGGTTTGGGAGATTTTTAGACATTCCTCGGCCAGGAGAGTCTGGGTTTGTTTCTGGTTACACCTACACCTTGGCCAAGTCACTTTAATTTCTCTGATCCTCAGTTGCCTCATCTGTAAAATAGGGATAATATTTTGGAACCCCACCACTCAAGGTTACTGTGAGGTTCAAATGATGTAAGATACATACATACATGTGTATATACTTTTTTTCTTTAAAGAGCTATAAAAATTTGTTTTTACTAAAAGATACCTGTATTCCCCACAAATAAATACAAGAAATGGCACAATAGGTAAGAATGACACTTAATCTGCCTAAGAGGAAAGGAACAAGTCTTCACTAGCCACCTATGAAGTACAAAGCACTGTGTTAAGTGCCTTATTTGATCCTCACAACAATCCTACAAGGTATTATTATTCTCCCCATTTAATAGCTGAGGAAATTGAGGCAGAAAGAGGTAAGGGACTTGCCCATGCTCACACAGCTAGTTAAGTATCTGAAGCCCCATTTGAACTCAGGTCTTCCTGACTCTAGGCCCAGCTCTATCTACTGGGCTATGTAGCCAATAGAGAGAAATTATATACTGATACCCTTGCTAAATATTTTTCCCCCTATTTCCTTTTTTTAGTTTTTATATCACCTTCATTTTCATATTCTCTCTTCCCATACCTAACAAAGCATCTCTCACAATAAAGAAACAAGAGATAGAAGAAAAAACAGTTCAGCAAAATTATCCAACAAAATAACAGAACTGGATAGTATATACAATGCTCTCTACCCATAATTCTCCACCCTTTGCCAAGAAGCAAAGAATAATTTTCTTACCCATTTTCTGGGGTAATGTTTTGTCATTAAAACTACACAGCACCTATTTCAGCTACATATTGATTTTTTTTAAAAAGAAACTAGCACATCTCATGAAGGCAAATTAAAAATAACAAAAAGCATTTCATTAGATCATTAAAAATGTTCCCCAATTCTTCACACGCACTAGCAAACACTGAGACACAACTAATGACAGTTTGAGAGTATTAGTGGCTGACAAGAACAGAATCAGTTACCCTGGAAGGAATCTTAATGACTATCTAGACCAGCACCATTCTACCCCAGAAAAAAATGACTCCACAGAAGTTAATACTTACCTAAGGTCACACTGGCAAGACAGTTAAAGAGCCAGTACTTATGACACTATTGCTTTAAGAGTTCCTTTCTATGACAATTACAATTCTCACTCAGATTTTCGATGAGATGTGCTCTATTTCTCAGATTCATGACCTGTAATGTAAGCATAAGAACTATGCTTCCATAATAACAATAATAATTACTATAGCTGACACTTTCACAGCACCTCAAGGTTTGCAAAGTGCTTTAGACACATTATCTCATTGGCTCTTCATAACAATCCTGTGAAGTAAGCGCTATTATCACCCCCATTTTACCGACAAGGAAACCCAAGGATCAGAGAGGTGAAATGATTTGTCCAATCTAAGCCTTCTTGATTCCCAAGTCTACTGTTTCACCCTACTACATCCCACTGCTATATGCATTACACACTGCTATATGCAATGCATCTCAATATGCAGATGAAATATTACAAGTATTTTCCCTTTAGCAAGAAATTCAGATGCCCACTGAAGTATTCTATGCTGAGCCATCAACATGAAAGATTTTCTAAAGCTGGGCACTTGGCCATGGCAGTTTCCAGGGATAGGGATTATATTAGTTACCATGATACCTTCAGAATAAATGAGTCATCTACTCAAGGACAAGTGCCTCTAACACAATGGATTGTGCCATGGATTCCTTTGGCACAGTCTGGTAAAGTCTATGGTCCCCTTCTCAGGATTACAAAGGAAACTAACTAGATTGAATTAGTTATCACTCAGATAAGGGTTTGGTATTTGAGCTATACAAACTAAAAGATCTCACACACACGCACACTCACTCACTCACTCACTTACTCTCTCTCCCTAGGATACAGGATAAAGATAACTTCATCTTCCTGTATGATCTCATCCTCCTTGGGACTCCACCTCATCCCTACCTTCCACCTCTCTGATTGGAAGGTGGAACCATGAATTCTAAACCTCTATTTAAGGAAAGAGCTCTCAGCTCAGACATCTCATATCTCTCCTGGCCTCACTACTTTGGGACTTTTCTGACTGACTTGTCCACCATGTTCCAACACCCTCTACCACTTTTAGTTCCCCACCCCATTTCAGCTGACAGTACTAGTACTAGGCTCATTTGATAGTCATTAATAAGAAAAGTCTCTATATACACCGAAATATTTATAACAGCACTTTTTGTAGTAGCAAAGAACTAGAAAATAGATGCTTATTAACTGGATAATGGCTAAACAAATAGTGGTAACATGAATGTAATGGAATATTACTGTGTTGTAAGAAATAATAAATACAGAGAAGCACAGATTTACAAGAGCTGATGCAAATAAGCAAGGCCAATATACACAAAGACTACAAAATGGAAATAATCACAAAACAATCAAAAATGAATGTTTCAAAATTACAAACATGGCCCCAAAGAAAAGATAATAAAAGGACCCCTTCCATCCCATTCATTTGCAGAGCCAAGAGATCCACAGGTATCATATACTGCATATATTTTCAGACTTTTTTCAAAATGTAGTGATTGATTTTGCTATTTGGTATAATGGTTGGCTCTCTGAGAAGACAGATGGGGGATACTGGAAAAACTGGTAATGCAAAAAAAAAACAAAAAAAGATCAATAAATTTACATTTTTTAAAATGTTACAAAAGTTATCAAAATACTTTAAAAGTCCAAGTTTATGTACCTCAGGTTAAAAAATCCTGCTAACAGATAAGCTTCATGATAAGAGCCCACTAGCTAGAACACAAGTTTATACAGTCCCTTCTAGTCCTAAACTTCTAGATCATGCCAGCAATTCATTAACATCCCATAATGCTTTAAAAAGGGCTAAAGACACTCATGCCTCAGTAAATTGGCCAATAAAAAATCAACAATAACTATTCAACTGCCCAGAGAAATCTGGTATGCATGATACTCCCTAAAGATCATTCCATTCTGAGGAATCATCCACTCTTTTTCTAAGAACTAAAACTAGTGACTAATTTGCTTGAGCTCTGGATTTTTTTTTTAAACCCCAGAACTTATGCAAAGCAAGGCTGACACCCAGTGGCTGCTTTTAGTACTGATGCCTGATTCACGAAAAAAGGTAGAAACAAAGTATATAGTAGCGGCAAAAACAACCACTACCAACAAAAAATACTTTCCCAAAAGGCTATTTTAACAACATATAACAAAAGAGGTTCAGAGGCCCTGCTAAAGCTCACTTTACCATACCAAGAGCTTTCCTAACACACAGGTAAGCAGCTAAAATGCCAAAAAGATCAGACTGAGAACTAGTCCACCCCTTTAAGTGAAGTGACTTGTCTAAAGTCATACAGATGGTAAGAGGCAAAGCTAGGAATTAAAACCAGGTCCTCCGACTCAAGATCCAGACCTCTTTTCCACTGTACCCCATATGCCACTGGGCTTCAGATGTTGTCTTAAGACACCATCCTTTTGTCTGACAGATAGCAAGATTCCAGTACAAATTCCAGTGTACTCACCCTTTCCTTATGACAAAGTTATTCTGATAATTCTCATGACTCAAGCACCTCTGCATCACAGATGTCAGTCAACATTTACTGAACATCCAGCATGCAGAGATCGTACAAGCATCTAGAAATTCAAAGAATATTGATGGAACACCTACTATATGCAAGATACACAGAAGAGCCTAGCTACTTTACTTAAGCTAAGGCAGATAGAACACAGCAAAAAGAAAGAGCTACGATTCCTCTAGAAGTATATATGTGGCCAACAGTCCTAAGTACAGAATAGCAGAATTGGTCATCTAAGCACAAGGGGATAAAAACAAACTTCCCATTCCCTCTTTTGAAGTTAACAGAAAACTGAATTTGTTTAAAGATACCATTGAAAGAAGTCTTGCTCACTCTGAAACAGGCCTAATACTAATTAGTTCTCATTCTTAATGGACAAGTATCAAGTCTCACATGCCTCTGTACGAACTATCTTCTGAAGAAGAGTTAAATAAAGAACCTTGCCCAACAGAATGAACGGTGAGACACAATCTTAAACGCAAATGAACTCTAGATTAACTTGACATTCCAAATCAGGAGGTCTTGGAAAAACCTGCCCTGTGAAAACTACACTAGCAGTGCCTGTGAACTCTTAACTGGGTATCCAGTGCTACTATTTCTACACTCAAACTATTGTTAGATTGACAAGTACTTCCAGAACAAGATACCTGGTAGTTTCCCAAGAAATCTCAATCTTTTCAGGAGTTTAACATAACCATCATTTGACACCATCTTCTGGCTGATGTGAGACAAAATCCCTGGACACTCACCCCACTGCGTCCTATCCCGTGATTTGGTGACTCTAAGATAAACACATTTAGAAAGAGCTTTAAAGCTGGCAAAGGGCTTCACATGCATTACCTCATTTAAGCTTCAAAACTACCCTGTGAGGTAGGTACAAGAGGCATTAACATGCCATCTTACAAATGAGGGAACTGAGGTGTAGTTTCCTGTGATGACAGAGCTAGTGTAAGACGGTGGGATCTGAACCTAGATCTTTTGGACTTGAAGTCCAACTCAGTATCTGCCATGACACAGTCTTTGTTGCTAGGTATCTGGTTTTAATAACTTTCACACAATACATGCAGGAAGAGAAGTATCTTAAAAATCAGTCCCTTGGGGGCAGCTAGGTGGCACAGAGGACAGAGCATCAGCCCTGAAGTCAGGAGTACCTGAGTTCAAATCCGGCCTCAGACCAAACACTTGACACTTAGTAGCTGTGTGACCCTGAGCAAGTCACTTAACCCCAATTGCCTAAAACAAAAACAAAAACAAAAAAAAAGTCCCTTGGTTTAACTGACCTAACCTAGCAACCCAGCAAGATTGCTTTTAATAGCTGCTCATGGCAGAGTTTTCAAAAATAGTATATTCTTTTGGCACAGATGTAAGAATGTCTTCAACATTATATCCCCGTGGACTAAATACTGTTAATATGAAACTCAAAAACAAACTCTTTTGAGATATTCAAGCATGTGCAGTTCTAAGATGGGAAGACATCAGCTAAAATGAACTTGACCTAGAAACACACTGATAGTTCAACAAGGTTTTGAACTCAACTTATAATAATGTTCAAACCCACATTAGATACTAGAATATTTTCTAGCCTAACGGAAAGGGACTTTCAGTCACTAGTCAAGGAAGCACCAGATCAGAGGCATATCCTATTATCTGATTCCATTCATTGGTCACAATATCACAGTGGACTGTAGGTATATAATATATCAATCGTTACACTATAACATTGGTAAAAGAAAGGCTAGGCAAGGTTTGCCTAGAATGAATTTCCTACAACTCAGGCCTAAAACTGTAAGATGCATCTATCTAAAAGTTATTACTAGGTTGCCAATTTCAGAAAATGGTACATTTAGCAAACTGCCAAATGGACAGGTATACCACCACCAGCACTATGATGTTTCATAAAGATGTGGCCTGGTAAAATACCCAATCCCTCTGCTTCAGTCAGCTAAAATTATTTATATGTATAGATCACTTCAGTAAGTGCTCAGAAATATCATCCATAATGATCATATTGAGTGAGGGTATCCAATTTGCCTGGTCCATCAAGTCAGTTTTTTAAGTTTACATGTTTATAGGCTGGATCTTTGGTTTTGTTTTACACATAGGCAAACTAGACTATTTGTCCATAACAGTTAGGAAAACACTGGTCTAGACTTGTTCATGTTACACAACTTAGGCCACAGAACTTTTACGCTATTGCCCACCTACAGACACAGAAGGGAAGGGAATAAACATTTATAGCATCTACTAGGGTGCTATGGGAGGGGAAGAGGGATATTATTTATAGATGATGGTGATCTAAGCTCATAATCTTCACTTAACCTTTTGGAAAGAAAAGTAAAAATTGATCAGCAACTCTCTCCAAGTATAACCACTTGTTGTCAAGACAGTTATAAGCATTAAATTATTGAGCTTTGTTCTCTTTATAAGAGGGTTTCTCCATCAACCCTGGTTAACACTCACTAGATAAAATCCTTCTAAATTTAGGGAAAAATTTTTGAACCACCTAATATTCTCCCATTCAACAATCACCTATTTGAATAGTTAGCTGACTACCCATGAGTCAGATTCATGGAACCATAAAGGACAATGGATAAATCCAGCCACTATTTTATAGATGAGGATAACTAAGGCCCAAAGATGGAAAGTGGTTTGCTCAGTCACAGAGATAATAATGGCAGTCAGTGAAAGCAAATCAGTATGATCATTGATTGGGAGATCAGAATCCAAATCAAAAAACATGAAATTAAAGAGGAAAATAAGCTAGATCAAATTACACAAAACAGAAACCATCCAGATCCTGTAAGTTTCCAGAACTGTGGGAGATGACTTAACAAAAAAATGATGTGGATTATTTATTTCTATACCATTGTTAGAACGCTGACTTCAAAAAAATTCTTTGATTAACTTTAATAATGTGTCTAATAGCTGCCTGTTCTTAGAGAGAAGGTAAGACAATGATAGGAACAACTTCTGCCATCAAATGGATGATGTTTTCAGACTGAGAAAGTCCAATGCCAGAGTTTTACTTTTTATCCTCCCTCCAACCTCCAGGTCATCCTTAAATCATGGACCAATAGACATCAGCTGTTATCCATAAAAATTAAAAAAAGGCAGAGTGCCACTTATTAACAGTGTGTTCCTAAAAATACATGCACATCAATTAACAGTCATCTCAGATGTAATACGCTGTTTGTTATTTAATGAAATCACCAGTAAGAGTTCTTTCAGAATAACCTATTTTGCCTGAAAGCTTGGAACACCTGAGCACTAAGTACCTATTATAATATCCAAATTTTCTTCAAACTGAACCATTCCTTCCATGATAAAGGAACAAATGAAGTACTATTCACAACCACAAGAAGATATGGGGAAATGATGTCCAGTGTCAGCAACTGCTTTTCACCCACTTCCTACACATAATCCTGGTAACACAAAGACTACTCAAGTCTCTAATAACCATACAAACCTGTTTGAGAATGTGGGGCCACAACTACTCAAGTAATGGCTCACTGATTCTGAAGAAATACACATCTTAAAGATTTCTTGGCCCACTCTCTGATTAGGCCTTGGGAGCAGATGAAGGAAACGCTCATTTTCATTACAATTTCTACATGTGCCAGGCCTTAAAATCAGTGTTCCATAAAGGCCACTGAAATTCAAACAGCAAGCAATGAAGCTACTCTTTCCTTGCCTCTTCAGCAGATACCACAAGACAAGCAACTGGGTAAAGACGTATATTTATTCACTTTACAAATATGGCGGTCTGGAAGCCATAAACAGCTCCATCTATAGACAAATAGACTGTACATACAATATGCCCACGGCCAGATCAAATTCACTCTGCCCAAGCTGTTAATGTGGCTCCAGCTCCATAAAGCAGAGTAAAAGGAGATTGTTGTTTGGCCACTGAGATTAAAAAGTCCCTAACAAATATGGTTGTTTTAAATATTCACAGGAAAAAAAAGACCTATCCACCTAGCTCTTCCTTCCTGTCTGAGACCATGTTTCAATGAATATCCCCTTAGCCCTAAATGACCTAGTTTTTGTTTTCAAATAAACAACTGATATTTCTAAAAGGTCTTTTTCAGGACACAAAAATAAAAATACTGGTTTAATACATACATAAAAAATTTTGAGTTCAAATTTTTTTTCTTTAACAAGGAAAAAAAAAAGAGTATCCAAACTTTGCCAAGCTCAAGTAACAGAAAGAGAAGAAAGCATTTAATTATTAAATTACAAATGTACTTTCCTTGGACTAAAAAAAACCAAACTGTTGCTAGGATGGCCACTGAAACTATTACTAACTGAAGCTAACAGAAAAAAAAACGGTCTCTGTTCTAAAAATTTAATTGACAGTGGAAAGATGAAGTGAATTTATGACTTTGACTGTAGGTGAATGCCAAAGAACAATGTGCAGGCAGTTGGCATGTGCTTTAAAAACGAACATGGATGGATCCCTGGTCATGTTCTACAGTCACAGAGAACCATTCATGTGGCTAGGGATGTTGGTTATTTTGGTTTTTGAAGTACCATAATTATTTTTTTTAAAAAATTACTTAAATATCTAAATAAAAATATTAGCAGATTTTCTGAGGGGGGGAAGTTTGGGAGGTGGGGTGGTGGTAGAGTGGGAGGATAAGTCCAAATGATTGAGCCCCCCCTGGTTAAGATTACTTTGGCCACTATTCCTAGAGATTTAAAAGGTGTTTTTCTAAAAACCTTGCAATCACATCTACACCTTCATTTTTTGTCATGTCTCATCTTCCACACAAAAAAGCAAATTTGGCTCATGCTCATAACATCTTACCAAGTTTACTCAGGACAGGTCACACCTGGACCAGATTACACATACCAACCTGCAGTAAGAGTGGATTCCTCCAAAGAACAGGTTGGGTGTGGTTTTGGTAGGGGAATGGGTTGGGGGGAGAATTTCCTCATCTTCATTTAACTCAATTCTTGATATAACCAATCATTCCAGGACTTTATTATATTATAAAAATATAAGATATGTAGGACAATCGTGTCAGTATGTTGCAGAAAAATGTGTCTATTTACTGTGTAAAGTTTATTAACAATTGAAAGAAACATTCTTATTTACACAGTTAAGTTTGAGGTGGGAAGGACAAGGGGGCTGGCATGGTGAGATCACCATTTTGAATTTGGAAAGGTGGTAGGGCTTTCTGCATTCTGCCACAGAGGTCAAACACAGAGACTGCCCTCTCCAGGAGAACATGGCAGCATTCAACAACGTGAGCCAAAGTTTATAGTTCTATTGGCCTATTTTTCCTTTCTTCTTCATTCTTCTTCACTTTCATTTTCTGGGTCCAAATCAGAATCTCCATTTATTTCTTTTTCAAGAGCCATTTCTTTCTCCTCACCATTTTCTGTGTCCTGATCTATTTCTTGTTGATCATCATCTTCCTCTTCCTCTTCATCCTTTTCACTTTCTCTCTCTTCTTCATCCTCCTCCCAATTCTCCTGATAAATTAATAAGCAGAGGAAACATTCACAAAGGCTCTTTATCAGTAGAGTAGCTGTACAAGACAAGGCTAAAGACCTTGGTAGCAGGAAGAGCTACTTACATCAGAATCTTTATCTGCCATTACTTCATCATCAGACTCCTCTTCCGAAGATTCTATAAAACAAAATCTTTGCTTAATTCCAAAACGATTGAAAATCCAATACAATTAAGAACCCTATGTTTTATTTCATAAAATGCTTATCTAGCAATAATGTTAGTCAAACGACTGTTTTCGACAACACCTGTGAATCCACCATAAGGAAATTCCCTCCACCAACGCAGACTGGCACCTTCTCTGCAACTCAGGATCTCAAAGAGTTAATTGGTGCACTTCAAGAGACTGATATGCCCAGGGTCAAATGTGTCAGAGGCCTTCCTGACTCCATAGCTAATCTCTTAATTCACTTTACCAGACAGATTCAATATCCAAGCAAAAATATTTTAGTATTTCAACAGCATTTTTCTAAACTAGATCTGTAATTTCATTGGAATAGAGAATTCCTAATATGGAAATTCACTTTCCTCCATAAGAATGTGAGCACCTTGGGTGCAGAGATTAGTTTTTGCCACTTTTGGGGTGTGTGTGTGTGGGGGGGGGAGAGAGAGAGAGAGAAAGAGAGAGAGAGAGAGAGAGAGAGAGAGAGAGAGAGAGAGAGAGAGAGAGAGAGAGAGAGAGAGAGAGAGACAGAGAGAGTACAATGCCTGGAAAACAGTAGACACTTGAAAAATACTCGCTGATTGACTCTACCAAAGTAGATTGGGAACTCTTCTGCTAGAATTAAGAGTCTCAGAATGTTGCTTGGAACATTAAGAGGTTAAGTATCTTGCCTAAGGTTGCATAGCTACTATGTGTTACAGGTGGGACTTGAGCCCAGGTCCACCTGATTCTAAAATTGCTATTCTCTCCATATGACACACTGCCCTTAGATACAAGAGGCAAATGTTCTTGATGCCAAAAGCCTGCTGAAAACAATGCAAAACAAAAGAACCAAGGATCTAAATATACTTTATTAAAATCAAGTTCTAAAAGCTCTGACAAAGTCCTAAGCTTTGACCTACAGATTGTAAACATGCAATCTTTCCAACCAAAGACGAATGGAGTGGGTGTGATTTAGTTACCATATTTTCTCTAAGGCTTAGTATTTTACACAGATTTCCCACTACAAAGCTGAATTTAAGAGAAGCAAAATTAAAGTGATACTTCTCATTTTCTACATTGAAGAGTGCAATATAGAACTATAACTCCAATTTCTGTTCCCACTCCTTACCTTCCTCATAGACCAGCTTTGCCGTCTGCTCAGGTGGAGGTATACCTTGAGTTTTTTCAGATGCTGCCACCTAAAAGAAGAAATATTAATACAAAAGTCAGTCATAGCTTGGCTCCTCTCACCTTACTCATTAAAAAACAAAAACCCTACACCAAAAGATAGGGTAAAAGACCAGATATTTTCAAGATTTCAATGATCTGTGGTTTCTGTCAGTGTACAGTGATTCATTCTCTAACACAACAGATCACATAAGCCCTCTAAAATGTCAGAGATGGCTTCTGAGAGCTGCTGGGGCTAAGATGGTAATGAGCTTTATAAACATGGCAAGGCCTACCTGCTTTCCCCAGACAGAAGTAAAGACTAAGTCACCACCCCCTCAGACAAGAATAGGTTTCAGGGGACTACTGACAGACCAGGTATATATTTAAATGTTTAAAAAAAAGAAAAGAAAAAAAGAGAAACTCCAGAAAAGTTTATAGGAATTGGGGTAAAACACAGCAGCATTAGCTTAAATACCAAAATTCTATGCACTCTCAGTAGCTCTGTTTTCCACAAAAAATTCCAAGAATGCTGTGTGAATTCTGACAAACAGGGCATTTCTTGAAAATTAAGACAGAATGTTTCTACTACTGTGTATTCCAAATTGACCTGGCATATTTTCCACTAAAATAAAGTAGGGATTTACTATAGGATCAGATAAATGTATTCTCATGCTTCCATTACTACCACATACAAAATCTTTCATTGTGGACTATATGGTGATGTACATACCTGTGTAATGAGAAGGATGAGTTTTCCATGCAGTCGAGAGAGCTTTCTTAAGGTTTTGACTCTGCTCTCCATCAACTGGTATAACATCCCCAACTGGGGTACCAGGTCAGGCAACTAGAAGAAAAATGATCAAGAAGCACTTGGCGCATTTTGTGTCAAGCAAACAGAAGCAAAGGGAATCTCAGATAGACACATCATTTCCTTTAAACAGTCCTGACACAGAACTATTCTATGGATAGGGGAAAAACTAGGAAAAAAAGTCCATCTCTTATGCCATTTTCTTAGTTCTCTTTCCCCCATTTTATTTATTTTTCCTTTTCTTTCTTTCTTTTTTTTTTTTTAAGGCAGTTGGGGTTAAGTGACTTGCCCAGGGTCACACAGCTGGTAAGTGTCAAGTGCTTGGTCTGAGACCAGATTTGAACTCAGGTACTCCTGACTTCAGGGCTGGTGCTCTATCCACTGTGCCACCTAGCTGCCCCTCTTTCCCCCATTTTTAGCAGAGTGTGAGTCAACATACACGGATCATTCCTTGACACAAATCCCCACAGTGTGCTTCAAATGCTGAGATCCTTACCCTTAAAAGGCTTGTATTCTAAAGAAGGAGGGGGTGTTTTAGAATCAACTATTGAAGTTAAGGTCATGGAGATACAGGTACAAGTTCACACAAACCACTTATAGAAAAAAAAAAAAGCAAAGAAATGATAATAGGCTGACTTCAGAAAAACTTGGAAAGACTTGTATGGTCTGATACTGAGTGAAGTGAGCAGAACCAGGAGAACGTTATACATAATGACAGCCACGTTGTGCTCTGACTAATAATGATAAACTTAACCCTTCCCAGAAATACAAGGATCTAAGACATCTCCAAAGGCCTCATGATGAAAAATGCTACCCACATCCAAAGAAAAAACTATGGAGTTTGAATGAAGATCAAAGCATACTATTTGCTATTTTTTTTTCTTCTGTTGAGTTGTGTTTCCTTGTTCTAGTGGTTCCTCCTATTGGTACTAATTCTTACTTACAACATCACTAATGTGAAAATATGTTTAATAGGAATGTATACGTATAGCTTATATCAGACTGTGTGCCGTCTTGGGGAGAGTGGTGAGGAGGGAGAGGGAGAAAATTTTTAAACTCAAAAGCATATGGAAGTGATTGTTGATAAATCAAAATAAATTAATTAAAAAATTTTTGAAAAGGCAAATTAAACTTTGAAGCACAGTTAAATTTTTTTTAACATTGGTATAAACTAAATCTTTCATAAGACACAGAGGATCAGTTTGGTTTTTTGGAAAGCTGAATACAATATTTTTTAAAATTCTCTTCTATGAAATGCAGACATTATCTGTAAGCATGTATTCCAAAGAGCTATGAGGATCAAGGGGAGAATGTATATAACGCATTTTCCAAATATTAAAATATTTTGTTAATGTCATATCATTATATGAGATGAGGACTGCTCAGGTGTTAACATATACTGAGGCCTGAGAATATAATCTCTTCTTTTCTAACGTTTCCATTTACCTTCCCCACTCCTAAGTCAAGAAGGGGAAGAAGAGGGGCAGCTAGGTGGTGCAGAGGATAGAGCACAGGCCCTGAAGTCAGGAAGACCTGAGTTCAAATCCAACCTCAGACCAAACACTTGACACTTACTAGATGTGTGACCTTGGGCAAGTCACTTAACCCCAACTGCCAAAAAAGGGGGGTGGGGTGGGGAAGGGGAAAAAAAAAAACCAAGAAGGGGAAGGGAGAAAGATGAACCTAGGATGGATGGAGAACTTTTTCCAAAACACTTCTAGTTCTTCTCTACCTTGAAATCTCAAAGCAGAACAATGAAAACAAAGGACATAGAGGGAACGGCTGATAAATTACATTAGTGACATTCTTTAGGCATTCTTAATGTTGAAATTAATTTTTCCCTAGAGTTGCAAATGTCTATTTTGCTGATTTATTGAAGTCAAAAAAAAGGAAAAGTATAAAAACTTTCAAATATCAATAACAGCGATTTTAGGAGCAAAACGATCATATGCAGCAGCAGGTAGATGGTGCAGTAGATAAAGTGTTGGGCCTGGAATCAGGAAGACCTGAGTTTAAATCTGGCCTCACACACTTACTAGCTGTATGGCCTTGGACAGGGCACTTAACCTCTGCTTCAGTTTCCTCATCTGTAAAATAGGGATAATAACAGCACCTACCTGCCAGGGTTGTTGTAAGATCAAATGAGGTAATAACTGTAAAGTGATTAGCACAGTATTTGGCACATAGGAAATGCCACAGATATAAAAATGTTAGCTACTATTAACAGCAACACACATTCTTATGTTCTTTAATAAAATGGCTTCGATTTGTAAATTTGTGAAAAAAAAGTGACTAAATTATTTTGATTTGGTCAAAATTTCTATTCCTTCATAAATACTGCTTTGTTTCTTCTTCCACCTTCCCTGTAACATACCTTGAGGACAAACTTGCTTTGATGGTTTTTAGGACACTCTGGGTAGGGCCTAAATTCCCAGGAGACTATCTGCACCATCTTCCCTAGCCCCTGAGCTCATTTTCCATTTTTGGGGAGCTATTCTTTTACGCTGCACTATACTGCTTCTTAGTAACTAATGGCAGTCAAAGAGACATGGCTGGATCATGCTCCTATAAAATATCATATAAAACCAGTGACCTGAAAAATAAAGGGCTATGGTACCACTAATTATAAATGCTAATCTCTAAGAGACATTACCTCTGGATTAGTTCAAGGGGAGATTTTTTTGGGGAGTGGGGTGGGGGTGGGGAGAGGTAAGAGGGTTGGACGTTATGAAAATATTTAAGCCAAACCTTTTACTGAACTTCAGCAAGGTAAGAGGACCCCACCCACCCAACGGTATTAAAAGTGTCTGTCTGGTTATTATTGTTGAAGATACTTACTGTGGACAGATAAGATGCATGTATGGTTAACACAGATTTTAACCATGGAACCATAAGTACAGCACTGGAAAGAAAAAAAAATTAAAATCCGAAATTCAAAAGAATTTGGCCATTAACCTTAAGAAAAAAAAAAAGCTATGTAGGGGAACTAAACTACAGATCCTATTCTCTGAAGGTAAATTGTCCCATCAAGTCTTAATGGTAGATCTATAGTTTCTAGTTTTTTCCCAACATTCATAGGAGGCCCATTTTGAGTTTTATACTGCACTAGAAACTACAGGGGAGTGCAACATTAATTCCTTTGGGAACTTCAAATCTAATTGAAGAAACTAGATTCCTCTACTATCTAGAGAAAGAAGTTAAAGGAAAGAACCATTCCTTTTGCCATTTTCATTCTACTGCAATGCCCCACTGTTGGCATCATGAGGAGAACACAAGACCTGGTATCAGAAAGATCTGAGTTCAAACACTATCTCAGACACTCATTAGCTAGGTGACCCTGGGCAGGTCATTTAACTTGTCTGCCTCAGTTTCCTCATCTTTAAAATGAGAGTCATAACAGCACCTATCTCACAGGACAATTGCAAAGATGTATTGAGATAATATGTAAAGCACTTGACTAGTGTTATCATAAAGAAATTCAATCCTCTTTACTGACTGATACAAAGGACTTAATAACAGGCTTTTAACAAGGAAAAAAAATCAGTTGACAATTCATGTGTAAACATGAGCAAAAACACAAAACCATGGGGTAAGGAACAAGAAGTATATCCACAAAAGGAAATTTGAAAATCATTACTACTACCATTAAAAAACAGCTATGGTGATGTGACATAGCCTTAAGAACTTAAAAGGCACACAAATGTACAGTATGCATGTTTGCATGCCTGTAACTACTCCAAAGGCTCAAGGATAAGAAAAAGGAATCAAGAAATTCTGTGCCTTAACTCAACAAGCAGACAACAGAACCACTTCCTTACGTCAGTATTAACAGACATTACCAGCTAGAGTCAGGCTCGTGCAGAAGGCGTGTGAATCGTGCCTGGTTTGTTTGTTTTTTACAACAACAAAACACTTGAATGTTTTATAGGCATCAGGAACAATGTAGCACAACTAAATTCCCAACATTTAACCACACCATGTAAAATACCCAGCGCCAGGAACCCCAGAGTGCCAAATGACAGCCCCAGCCTCAAGAAATGTGTGTATAGTACACCACAGGAAGCTGCAAGGTGAAATATGACCTGGGCCAGGAAGAGAGCCAGACAAAGCGCTCTACAACAATGTGAGGTGCAAGAGAATACTTTCCTGGTTTGGGGGCCATGGAGGGAAGGAGAAAATTACCACCAGGCAGCATATGAGCCGAACCCTGAAGATTCTGAATAGGAATGCTAGGGAGGAAGGACATGCTAAGACTGAAATCTGGCAGGACAGGGAACAGCCAGCAGTCCAGTTTATCTAGAAGCTTGGGGGACCAGAAGGCAGTAATGGGAAATAAAGCTGGAAAGTGATAGGTTGCAGCTACATTGTCAGCTGTTTAACCTGTTTAAATCTGTATTCTGTCTTATAGGTAATATGGAACCAACAGAAGTACACATCCAGACCTAGGCCATAAAGATTATTTTGGCAGTCCATGAAAGATGGTTCATAGAAGTGAGAGACTACAGACAGGAAAATCATTCAGGAGGTAATTAACAATAATCTAGGTAAGAGATAATAATGAAGTGTCATGTTCAAGGAACAGCAAGTAGGGTATAGAAAGGGAATAGGCTATGAGAACTTCAAATGTCAAAAAGAAGATTTTATATTTAACCCTGTAAGTAAATAAGAAGGCATGAGAGCTCAATGAACCCAGGGATGACTGGTCAGACTTAAACTTTAGAAAAATCACCTTGGAAGCTCAGTGGAGAATAGACTAGAATGGGGACAGATTGGAGGAAAAGTGACCAGTTACAAAGTTACTGCTTAGTAGCAGTACTACTTGCCTGTAGTCCAGGCAAGAGGTGATAAGGGTCTGAGCAAAGATGGCAGTGGTTATGTGAAGGGCATATGTATAAAAGAGATTTTGTGAAGACAGTTGAATTGTATATTCTTCAAGGACACAATTCATAACTCATCTCTGTGCCTACTGAATTCCACCTTTTGATTTCTCTGGCTTCCTTTAAGACTGAGCTCAAAGCCTACTTTGTTCAGAAGGCTTTCCCAGTCTCCCCAGCTGCTGATGGCTCCACATTTAGATGACCTATTTTGTATATATCTCATATATACCTAGATTTTTACATGTCTCCACCATTAGACTTTTGCTTCTTCAAGAAGGGAACTGGCTTTGGGCGGATTTAGGGGCCTTTCTTTGAACCCAAAGCATTAAGCAGTTTTTGGCAAACAGTAGGCACAATAAATACTTGTTGATTGAATGACAGTTATGATACTACATTCTTAAATAAGAGAATAAACATTTATTAAGTGCAAGGCACTGTGCTAAGCACTTTAATAAATATTAACTCAATGATCCTCCCAACCACCCCAGGAGAGAGGCACTATCAATATCCCCATTTTACAGGTGAGGAAGTTAAGGAAGACAGAGGTGAATTGACTTGCCAGGAGGTCTTCCTGACCTCAGGCCCAGTGCTCTAGCCACTGCACCTCAACCCCTTCAATGACTTGAGATATGACTCACCAGCCTCTACACAATTCTACAGCTTAACACAACTACTATAATGTCATCTACAGACAAGAATCTGGGGGGCACCGTTGATAAGGATCCCTCTTCTGTTTGGACTCTGAGTTCTGACAGCATGCTTTTTGTGAACATAGATGTTTTATGCCCCCACTCTGTTATCAGTAAATCAGAGGAAAGTCAAATGAAGCTACCTCTATTACTGCACCTATCAAAGCTTTAATCCTGTATAATTTTGCAGAGGGATTTGAGGTACTGGACATGTCATAAGAAAAATGAACAAGGCCAGATAGCACAGATAAGAAATTGTATAGCTCTTCTAAAGCCATCAAGACTCTCTGGGAAAAATAATCTCATCAATACCAATATTTTTCCAGCCATGCTTTATGACTACAAATTAGAAAATGCCATTCTCCATGAATCTAAACTGTAAGTTATCCAAAGGGAAATGAAACATGTACGATATGCCCACCTAAATAAGCAGTAAGTAGCAAAAAAAAAAAAAAATCAAAGAGATGTATGACCAGAAAAGGAGGTAAACTGGCCACACACTGAAAATGAACGATAAATATACAGACAGCCTAGGTGCTGCCCTGAAGGATGTGCAATGTTGAAGAAGTCCCTTAGCATGTTAAGTGGACCACCTTTGGATCATTTAAAGGAGGACATGGACAAAGGAAAAACGAGTTGCAATATGCACCATTGGAGGGAATATCTAACACCAATGAAATATAAAAAAAGAACATACTAGAATTAATATCATTAGGTATGCTTTATGGTGAGTAACACAAAACTAACTGGCAGGGTTGGTCTTAGCTATCTCCAAAGCTATCCTTAAACCTTCTTAAAATCAAGATTATCCAGAGGAAAATTGTTCTCCTTGATTTTATTTCTCTTGGCATATCTGCAGGAAAGCAGTAGACGGAAGAGATGGGCAGATCAAAATGATGGTTTCATGATTTCTCAAAGAGCCACTCATTTGGCAGGCAGGGATGCATTCACATTTTTTCTCAGCCTACCCTACCTCACTCCTAAGAGTGCCACAAAGCATATAATTAAATTATCAAGTGAATAAAAGATTAATTTTCAAAGACTGGAGATATCCTAGGGCAATCCCAAATTTGGGCTAAGAAATACTGTGGTAGTCTCTATAATATATACGTCAACAACAAATTCTTAGCAAAAAGATGATGTCTCACCTATTGGGATGTCCTTGCAGCCTCTTAGTAAGCTGGAAAGAAAAAAAATAATCAGAACCAATATTTAACATATGACTATCTCTATAATTTCCAAAAATGCCTATGCCACAAATATATCCAAGGAGAAAAATACCAAAGCCTTTTCTACATTAGGGAATTTTTAACTTTAGTTGTCAGTGTCTGTAATGTTAATTTTTAATAGCACGACATAAGATATATTCATATATATGTACACACACACACACACACACACACACACACACACACACACACACACAAATAAATCTCTGATATCCAAGTCTCCAGCAGAGAGAGCTTCCTCTGAAGGGAAATGACACAGGTCAAAAGGACATAAGTCACATAGGAAATGACTTCAAAACAAAAAAGCATCAATAAAATGCATAAAAACACTTTAAAATTACACCAATTCAAATTCCTTATTCTCACCATCTTGTCTCCCAAGTGTTATTTGCTGGAAAAGAAACTACTACATACAATACTCTTTTGCTGGGGCCATATTCAAAGCTCTTCCTAAGAGAAGTATTTCACTGATCCAACAACACTTAATATATGGTACACGTCAACACACTGCTACATCCTCAGCTGTGTATGAAAACACCAATTTTAACAAGTACCCTTAACAACAGTATTATTTGACAGTTACCAGTAACACCAAAGCCTGAAGCCACTGTAAGCTCTGGATTAACAACCTTAACCTCTAACTCCTCCCCTCCAAAGTTAACTTTTATATGCTTTCAGAGCTCCGGATTTATGTGTTATTCAATTAAAATTCTCAAGTATGTCCAGGTTTAAAAAAAAAAGGCTCTGATACAGAAAGAAAAGAAACAATGTCAAAACGATTTATTTTCTATTAAAGTCTGTAATAAACATGGTTACTCATTTATGATAATCCTTTGACAGACTGACTTCAACAAGTATTTATCGAGTGACCATATGTGCAGTGAGTTTCAAAACTAACATTTCTGCTAATACAATGATCAAATGTGCACAGTGGTGCATCTTATACCTTATAGCAAGCAGCCCAGCAGAGAAGAGGTCACTTAGCTGAACTAAGCACACAGCTCAAAGCTCTAAACTAGGGATCAGCAAAACTAGCTAAAGTTTGAGGCCCAGTCCTGAAACTCACTAGGTAGTGTGACTGTGCAAATCACAACTGCCTTGTTCTGAAAGGTAACCTTTTTAGGAAACAGGACTAAACAAAATGGTTCAAGAATTGTAGAAGAAAATAAATTATGCCTGGTATTACACACCAGAAGGTTCTCTTACCTCATTCAATAAAGGAATAACAGCATATACTGGAATTCTTAACACGGTGTTTCTTATTAAGGTATCCTTTCTTGTTTGAAGTACTTTCTGTAAGTAAAGGACAAAAAATTATCCAGTAATACAGCTGGTAAGGACACAAAGTTAGTGGGTAAAAAGGATGCTACTAAATTTTAAACCTAAAAGGAAAACCCTGTAAGGTACCCTTAACAACAAAAATAAATGGGGGCAAGACAACTTAATTGCTATACTGTGACCCATGGAAAATGCGAAAGCTTCAGTTTTTAGAATGAAGAGGAAATATATTTTGATTATAATTTTTCAACAAATAACTTTTCTTTACAAACCATAAAAATTTCCCCATTAAAGATGAAAAAGTGCCTTGGATATGCAATCACCAGACCTGGCTTTAAGTCCTGGGACGGGCTCTTCCCCAGGTGTGTGAATAAAGGCAAGCCACTTCAACCTTCCTGAAACTCAGTTTACTACTTTCACAATATCTCACAGGATCCTGTGTCAAAGATCCACTCAGCAATCTCCAGTGGCTCTTGACTGCCTCCAGGATCAAATACAAAATGTTCCTCTCTGGCATTCAAAGCCCTTCCTAACTTAGCTCCCTCCTACCTTTCCAGTCTTCTGCTCTCCTCAACTGTGCCTACAGACCTCCCTGGCTTGTTTTAAGTCCCAATTAAACATCTTTTACAGGAATCCTCCCCCAACTACTCATAATTCCAGTGCCTTCTGCCTATTAATTATTTCTTACTTATCGTGTATATTACTCATTTTGTACATAGTTGTTTGCATGTAGTCTCCCCTATTGGATGGTAAGCTCCTTTAGGGCAGGGACCGTCTTTTGCCTCTTCTAGTATCCCCAGTGCTTAGCACAGTGCCTGGCACATAGCAGGCACTTAATATACGTTTACTGATTGATTTGTACAGTTGGACTTGTCCTCAGGAGACATCTATTCTAACCCTCTCACTTTACAGATGAAGACAACAAAACCCAGGGAGGTTAAAGTCACACAGTGAGATTTGAGAATCCAGATCTATCGACTAGAGCAGTGCTCATGTGAGAATTCTAGCTAATTAGTAAAAACTAACGTAAAACTCTGTGAACATAAAGATTTTACCGTAGAGATGAACCTCATTACATAACTGAAAATTAGTCCAACTTACAGTTTAAAAATGTTAAAATAATTAAAAACTAAAATTTTATTTAACATCATTAGATTTCCTCAGAAAAAGATATAATACATGATGTAGTAAACTCTGAAAATTCACTTAATTGACAAAAAGGATAAAAAGTCTAAGTTACTAAAAGCTAAAGTATTATTATATAATGAAACTAGAAATATTATACAAGAAATTGCATCCCCTTAAGCAATCTCTACATAGAAAGGAGGTATGCCATCATGTCCTGACCATGATATGCTTAAAACACACACAACCCTCCCACACACTCAATTTTTTTTTTTAATTTAAGGTACTCTGGAAATATCTTTAGATAAGGTAGCAAGCTGGTCACGTAGCACAAAGACATCTGGATGTGACATCCTTGCTTCCCACCATGGCACCAGTCTCTGTGAGACATTAAAATGCCATGGGAGGAAAGCTTCTACAACACCAGATAGCAGCTCCTCTATGGAGAAGGTGGATGAAAAGGCCAGCATGGATTATGAGCTGAATCAGTTGAAGAATTATACAATCTAATCTCTTAAAACACGTTTGAGTACATACAGACACATACGTATATGTGCTACATTATCATATCACATGCACTAGTTCGTATCAACCAAAATATTTTATAGAGCTAGAGGATATGACCCCAAAAAAAGATGTCATGAATTATGAAAGAGTTCATGAATCACTGGCAATTGTGCTACCATTTTAGATCTATGAAAAACCAACAAGTGACCCTTACATTTAGCATATAGCAGTCGTTACTCTCTAGGCCCTGCACCAGAAGAAGGGTAGCTGTCCGCCTTTAGGTCCCCTTTTCTTTTTTCTTTCGTGGTGTCTATGTCCATCGCTCCCAATCGCTCTTCAATGCTAACTTGCTGAATAAATAAAAACACTGTGGTTAAAGCACATTCTACTACTTCATTATTATGCATATGTAGCCACACACTAAAATACAATGTTGTCATACAATTATCCTATGTCCATGCACTCAGATCTAAGAGCTAAGAACTAATAATGGGCAATTGTCACCTCTCCCTCTGTGAAAAAAAAACTCTTTCCTATTGTACTAAAAATCCATTATAATAGCTACTGTTTGGGACAAAAATAGCACCCACAATATACATTTTTCTTGTTGCAGTAGAAATATGATCATAGTGTACAAAGAGGGATGACTCGATGTGTTTTTCAGATGAAACATTATTAGTTACATTCTCCAAAGATTAATGTTTATGAACTGAAAAAAGTAGGTCCGTGACGGTCCTTCACCCAATCAATTTCTCAGTTGTACTGATACTAACAACTCTAAAAACTCATTTGTCTACTTCTATTCCCTGCCCTGTATTCTACTCAAATCCCATTACCACCTGCCTGACATATGATTAGCTTCCTACAATAACAATTTCAACCTCAATTCTCTCTAGCCCTTAATCTGGCAAATTAATTTTACTTATAAGTAGATCTGATCAGGTCAGCCACTGGTCTATTCCATACTTTCAAAATCTAGGCAAATGAAACTGACTACAAGTAAAATCTAAACTACTCAGCCAGGTATCCAAGGCACTCCACAATCTGAGGTCACTGTAGGAACAAAGTTTTCCATCTCAATATTCTACATGTATTCTACATGCCAACAACAGCCTCTAGAACTGAACTGATATTCAACTGAATTGACTGCTATCATACATATATATGGGATGCATGCATATTTGTATATATGTATCTATTTAAATCTACATGTTTTGAAAGGCTACACATTCTTCATGATATAGCTTACCTGTTCCTATTTCCTCTATAAAATCTTTTCTCCTTGATTACTCAATTAAGAAATCATTCTTCTGCCTTACATATCAAAAAGAATACTTTGTACCACTCACTTCAGACCTGTTTTGTACAGAGCACTTTTTCTGTGTTGTACCCTAGGGCAGGGATCACCTCTTCATCCTCTTTGGATTCCTGGCTCTGGCTACGAGACTGCATACAATACAAACTTAACATTATATCATGGAGCAGATGAGAGAGCCCTAAAATAGGTGTCAGAAAGGCCTGAGTTCAAATTCTAATTAGGCACTAGCTCTGTGATTCCAGGCAGATTATTTAACTTCTCTGTGACTGTGTCCTAATGTACTGCAACATCAGAAAGCTGGACTAAAGTTCCTTTAGGCTCTCAATCTATGATCCTATGATTGAATGCCAGACGTGCTCAGACAGCCAAGAGAAAAGCATCACTGGATCTCAGCAAAAAGCGAAACCAGACTGAAATCATCACAGCAAGTACCGGCTTTTATTTAGTTCTGTAACATATGAAACATCCTGACAACGATTACGCATATATGCTCATTTCTAGCTGATGTGTCAAGGAAAAACTAAAGATTTATATTTCTAACCCAAAAGTGGTCCAAAGCAAGGGTCATTTTCTACCTTTTCTTGACACTACACTCTAAAATACAGTAAAGGAAAATAAAACAGACAGCAGCAATAGCCTGACAAACTTCTAAGTGGTTTAAGACTTAAATGCTAATTAAGTATGATGATATTTCCCACTGTCTTAATGGAAAAACAAACAGAACAAAAAAACTTAATACAAATTAGACATAGTATGTGGTAGCAAAGGTGCCATCAGCCTTTTTGAAGGATTCAATGGCAACAAAAGCAATGACTGACAACTGGTGAATGTGCCATTCTTTGCAAAATCTGTCACTTTAAATTAAACGAAGAATCACCTCAGTGACCCACACCATTTGATATCCCTCACTTCGATTACCTCCTTCTCCTTTAATCTCCTTTTACTTTCTGTTTTCTCTGTCTCCAGTGTAGGTTTGATGGCTGCATGATGTCCAGGAATCCCAGGGCCTAAAACTTTGGCCTCTGAATTCATCATGGGTGTTCTTACCTACAGAATTGGAAACGATGTTAAGAGAAGTGGGGGAAAAACCCACATGACTCAATTATTAAACTCAGACAAGCTTAAATCAAGAATAATGGCGAGATGTATCACAAAATGGGTGAGATATACCACAAATATCTGCTATTTGAACTATATTCAATATGTATTAGTCTCTCTCTAAAAACATTTTCAATCAAAGGATATGAACAGGCAGTTCTCAGATGAATAAATTAAAGCCATCTATAGTCATGAAAAAATGTTCTAAATCACTATTGATTAGAAATGCAAATCAAAACAACTCTGAGATACCACATCACACCTATTAGAGTGGCTAACATGACAAAACAGGAAAATGATACATGTTGGAGAAGATGTGGGAAAACTGGAACACTAATGCATTGTTGGTGGAGTTGTGAAATGATCCAACCATTTTGGAGAGCAATTTGAAACTATGCCCAAAGGGCTATAAAAATGTGCATATCCTTTGACCCAGCAATAGCACTTCTAGGGCTGTATCCCAAAAAGATTAAACAAACTGGAAAAGGACCCACATGACAAAAATATTTATAACATCTTTTTGTGGTGGCAAAGAATTAGAAACTGAAGGAATGCCCATCAACTGGGGAATAACTGAACAAGTTGTGGTATATGAATGTAATGGAATACTATTGTTCCATAAGAAATGATGAGCAGATGGACTTCAGAAAAACCTGCAAAGATTTATATGGACTGATGCTAAGTGAAGTAAGCAGAACCAGGAGGATGTTGTACATAGTAACAGCCAGGCTGTGCAATGACTAACATTGATAGACTTAGCCCTTCTCAGCAATGCAAGGATCTAAGACATCTCCAAAGGTCTCATGATGGAAAATGCTATCCATATCCAAAGAAAGAACTACAGAGTTTGAATGCAGATCAAAACGTACTATTTGCTATTTTTTTCCTTCTGTTTTGTTTCCTCATTCTGGTGGTTCCTCCTATTGGTTCTAATTCTTCCTTACAACATCACTAATGGGAATATACGTTTAACAGGAATGTATATGTAAAGCCTATATCAGACTGCATTCTGTCTGGGGAGGGAGGATGAAAAATTTAAAATTCAAAAGCTTATGGAAGTGATTGTTGATAAATCAAATTAGTAAAAAAAAAATTTTTTTAATAATATGGCATTAGTTTCTCCACAATGTAACAGATTTTTTAAAAAAATCTAACCTTGATTGAAGATTTAAATTAGATGATAAATTAATTTTACTGGAGAAACATGTATACTTTAATTTGCCTACAAACAAGTTTCTCAATTATAAAACTACATATTTATCAAACTTAATTCTTAATTCTATTACTGATTTAGTTTATAAAGAATTTTCAAGTAGGAATATTACATTAAAAGGAAAAATGCAATAAATCTCCTTTCATAAAACTTACCATTTAAAAACACAGCTGATTACTTCAGCAAAGCTACCTAAGGGACATGCCAGGACAGCTCAGACAGCCAAGAGAAAAGCATCACCTATGAAACTCAGCCACAAGCGAAACCAAATGGAAGTCATCACAGCAACTCCCAGCTCTTATGGTTTTGTTTTGTTTTCTGAAGTATACCAAACTGATTCTGATAAGACCATAATTTTACTTAATGAGCCTCAAGTTTTTAATCAAAAACAGTGTCATGCTCTCTTTAACTTTTTTGTTCTCCAATTTGAGGGATTATCAGCAAATTAAAATCTACAGTGACTTTAATAATTCATTGGACAATACCTTTATGTATAATTTTTTCTCAAAGATGAGTATTTTCAGATGTACCTTCAACACTCACTTATTCACATTTATACTCAGAAAAAAAAATCACAAAAGTATCTTTAACCCTAATACAATCCAATTACATGTCTTTTGGGGGGGGGCCAGGGGGGTGGTAGTGGCCCACAACCAGGGTCAAGTGACTTGCCCAGGGTCATATAGATACTAAATGTGTGAGGCTGGATCTGAACTCAAGTCTTCTTGACTCCACAGCCTGTGTTTTATTCACTGCACCACCTAGCTGCCCCTCACATAAGCCTTGATCCACTGAATTAACCTAGAATAATAGCCTCAATTTACCCAATGTAGTTTGGGCAGTTTTTTCCCCAAGGTAACTGAACAATTAGTATTTGCCTAAAGCAAAATTACTCTAAGCTATAGACACTCTTATATAAAATTAGAGGAGTTCTTCTCTTTCAATAATCTTTAGGAATATAGCAACTCAAAAACCTTTGAAACAGGAATGAGACAAGTCATGCTATAGGGTTGATATATGTCAAAATACCTTACAAAATTAAAATATTGAAGTTACTTCTAATAACCCTTGTAAAGCATAAATGTGAAATCCTCCCTTAATCACAGGGATAAAACTCAGGAAACATCAAAAGTCCATTAAAATGGAGGGCATTTCAAAGTATATGGCATATGTTGAAGTAATTAGTGACGCGGAAAATGTAATTTGCAAGTTGCCTTTTGATCATTACCCTACAGAATAAAAGCAGGTAGTTTGAGTACAGATCTTAGGTTCAACTGAGTTTCCAGGTTCACTCTAGCAACAACTACTTGAGATGAGTGGCTATCGGAATATTAACTGAGATGCCGGACTGAATGGCATGAGGGCAAAGAACAAATTATACATTATAACAGAGGACCAAATGGAGCAGTCACCCAACAAGTAGCCAGCATATTCTGTGCTAGGCACTGGGGAAGGCCATGGTGGACACAAATAAAATGAAAGACTCCCTGCTGGGAACTTACACTAACAAGAAAGACAAAAGTTATATTAAGAACAAATACAAATGAATACAAAGTAGTCAAAGAGGGAGGAAATGTCTTAGGTCAGGAAAGGCTGTGTATACCAGGGTTGCTTGGGAAGGAGGCCAGACAGAGCTGAAGAGCACTGTGGAGGACAGAGGGAAAGACAGACTATGTCACTGAGGTTCAAAATAGAGGCCAGATTTTAAAGGACTTTTAAAGCTACATGAAAGGGTTTAAAATTTATCTTAGAGGCAATTGGGAACCACTGGAGTTGACTAAGGAGGGGAGTCACACAGACAGACCTGCGCTTAAGAAACATAGAAGCAGGGTGCATAACAAAGTCAATGGAGCAGGAAAAGACCTGAAGCAGAAAGACCAATTAAGCAGCCACTGAAATAATCAAAGTGAGAGATGATGAGGACCTGAACCAAGATGGCAGCTGTGACTACAGAGAAGAGATCAGGTTTCAAAGATGCTGAGAAAGCAGAAATGACACAATGTGGCAAGTGACTGGATATGGGAAGTGGAAGAAGAGTTGGGTCCAAGAAAATATTAAAGTTACAAAGCTGAGAGTCCAGGACAGTGATGTCTTCAACATAAAAAGTGAGGTTTGGAGGGGGATGGGGAGGGATAGGGGGAGATAGGGTCAGCAGGAAAGCTAAGAGGGCAGTAAAAGAAATCTCTAAATGTGCCATGGAGCAAGGAACTCCCTCACTCCATCATGACATGTGGGTATTGAGCAAAGTTGCAGGGCAGCAGTAGAGAAGACGACCAGGGAGGAGGTGTCACCATGGGGAAGCTGGGTCTCAGTGAGGGCTAGTGAATGGAAGAAGTGTGAAGGGAAGAAGGAAAGCTTACTCTCAGTGGGAGGTAGGGCTGGGCAGGGGACATGTGTAGAGTAAGGCTTAGAAGGTTGGGAGAGGAGAATGGGGCGGGGTAGGGGAGATGTTTGGGATCGCTTGCTCCCATTTCGACAAGAATGGATTAATATGAGCAGATGAGAGATAAACAGGGTTTGGGAAACTGCTCAGTCTCCAGGGGTACTGCTGCTAGGGAAAAGCAGGGCTATAGAGTTCACTTTCTCCTGTGAATCAAGAGTGGTGCCACCAAATGGAATTGGGATTGTTTCATTCCTAGTATTTGTGCTCCCAACAACTGATGGAATACCCAACATATAATAAAGAATTAATGATTAATGATTATGATAGACTGATTCATTAAATAGTTTATTTAAACCTGTTACCAAAACTGATACCACACTCACTCACCTTTGTTACAGCTATTCCTATTTTTGGAGTCCAACAATTGACATCTCTTATCAGACACATATGGGGTTCTCTGGAGTTCAAAGACTGGAACAGGTAAAAAGTAAAAAATTAATTTCAGACACACCATAATCAAACACAGTCACAAAAAATTTGAACACATACACCAATGTACAAATACATGCACAAATTGCGCATATATTAGAAGATGTGATATATCTTCTAAAAGCAATTTGTGTTCTGGTCATTAAAAATTATGGACTTTAAAGAACTCTTTTAATGCTAATGACTTCAATTTATAAAGAAATCTCCTTTTTACCACTCAAAGACCCATATGTCTTTACATCCTCCTCTCTCTTATATACAAGTATGTAACATTAATAAGAAAAATAACAGGTTCTGGGCTTGTACTATATCCACCATGTGCAATTGCCAGACATGAATTTTTAAAAGTACTCTAGTAATAATGGCATGCTCATAAACAACTCATCAGAAGTTTTCAAAGAAACTTAAGGAATTAAAAAGATTAAATCATTACATTATCCACTACATGGCGATCCACTGAAATTCAGTGGGTGCTAGTACTACACCCAGAGATAAAACTCCATAATAAAGTCTCGACTAATTCAATTTAAGATCCACTCCCCTACTTCAAAAAAAGCTACCTTTCAGGTAGCTACCAGAAAATAACCTTTTAAAAACCAAGACAGAACAAAATACCACATTAAAATCTTCACCCTTAAATACATAATTTTATATTAGTTATTCAAAAGAAGCATCTAGTTATCTACCTACCACTCTTTCAATAGCTGGCTGCAAATGACTGCCATATACAAGTAGCAAAGACTGCTTGTCTGAACAAAAAGCTGCTGCTAGAATTGGGATAGGTGTTGGTGTTGATTCTTTGTCTTTCCCAGATGTTGCAATCTGAATAGTGCAATTCGAAGTCAAAGGCTTTTTGCAGTATCTAGAAAGGAAAAAAAAACTCAGATGTGATCAAATCATTCGAGATTAAGTAGCAGGTTCAAACTTACTGCAGGAATCCCCTTATTAGAAGGCAGAGAAGGGCATCGTAACCCAGAATATTAAGATGCCCTAACAAGGTAGAAACCGGATGGAGAGGGTACACTGAATATACTCGTGCTCATAAGCTATCTGCATAGTCTATGGCTATCACAACTACACAAACCTTCTCTACCACCCTCTACAAAACAAAGGAAGAGAGTCACTGTTTACAAGGTCCACAGATCGACACAGGTACCCAGCAAGTTGCGCCATGAGTACACTAAGAAAGAGTGTGTGGGATGCACTATGAAAACTTAAGACCAAAATGCATCATAAAAACACAGGAATCTAATTAATGATCCTCTGTGAGGACATCTTGTAAATCCAAAACCAAGCTAATACAATTTCTTGCTTCCTTTAAAGGTTTTCATTTTAGGTGTTATAACCATAATTCTATTCAGAAAAATTTATCTACCATGTGCAAAGCACTGTGCACAATACAATAAATGCAAATAAAATAAGGACACTACCTTAAAAGAATTTATAATTTAATAAAAGGTGGGCAGAATATGACAGACAAACTAAGTATGATACAAGGTAAAATATGAGAAGTGCCAAAGAGAGGTATATACAAGGTGCCCAGACAAATTTTAAGGAGATGACTTCTTGCTTACAGGAGGGGAGAAGGTGAAGTAGGGGATCAGCAAGGCTTGATAAATAAACTGGTAAAATACAGAAAGATCCTCAGAGATGGAAGGAAGATAGGATGGCCATTCTACACACAGAGGTGATTGCAAGGCCTGAATCAACTACAGTGGAAGAGCAAAGACCCAGGTATAGAAAACACTACAGAATCACAAACCATAAGCCTAAAGATTAATTGGATGGGGGGGGGAGAAGAGAAAAAAGAGTCAAACACTGGTTCAAAGACGGAATAGAGGAGCTATCCACAGAAGGCGATATTAAAGAAGGTTGAGTGAAGTTTAAGGCACAGCTAAAAGAGAAGCTCGCTTGGAGACACATTGAGTTATGCGATGTTCACAAAACCTCTAGATACAGGTAAGAGAAGGCACACAGAAATGAAAAAGTAGAGCTCCAGAGAGGCTAAGCAAAGGGATAAATGGATTATGGAGTCATTTGCACAGGCAATAACTACAGCCTTAGGAGATGAACATTTTGGAGATAATAAGAAGACTGAAAAGGAATAAAAAGAGGACAAGAGTGCCATTTTATAGAAGCCAAGTATGAAAGAGTATATTAATACTAAAGAGAGTATAATCAAAAGTATGAAATACTGTTGAAGGATGAAGACTGAGGAGAGGGTACTAGGTTTGGTAAGAGAGAATGTGAGAATGTGAGAATGTGAGTGTGTGTGTGTGTGTGTGTGTGTGTGTGTGTGTGTGTGTGTGAGAGAGAGAGAGAGAGAGAGAGAGAGAGAGAGAGAGAGTGTGTGTGTGTATACACACAAGCAGGTTGAAGGGGTCAGCAGTGAGTGTGCAGTAGAAAGTCAAGGTAATAAATACAGATTATTTTACCTGGAAGTAACAGTAAAATTGCAAGAAAATAACATTAGAACTTCAGAGGGTAGTAAGATTAAGGTGGAAGTATATCAACAAGTGGGTTTCAAAAGGAAAAAATCCAAGCTATCAACAACAAAAAAATGCTCTAAAACACTAATAAGAGAAACGCAAATTAAAGCAACTTTGAGGTATCACCTCACAATTATCAGACTGGCAAACAGGACAGAAGATTAGAGAAAATGACAAATGCTGGAGGGGCTATGAATTGGTCCAGCCATTCTGGAAATCAATTTGGAACCATATGCATCAAGTTATTGAAATGTTTGTGCCCTGTGACCCAGGCATACAACTTTGTTTTTGTTGTTCGGTTGTTTCAGTCGTGTCCAACTTTTCGTGACCCCTTTTGGGATTTTCTTGGCAACGATACTGGAGTGGTTTGCTTCAGCTCATTTGACAGATGAGGAAACTGAAGCACAAGAACTTATTAAACAGGACAGCTTCAGATGTAACTGAGAAGATCTGTATAACAAGTTATACAATACCATTTTAGAAAAAATCAACTAGGAAAGACTTTGGAACTCGGGTCAATGCAATGACAAATCATAAGTCCATAAGAATGTAGATGAGACACACAACTTAAGCCCTAACAAAGAGGTGATAAACTTAAAATGCTGAAAGAGACAAGGCTGATGTGGGAATGTGTTTTGTTGGACTACGCAGTTATGCACTGATGGGTTGGTTTTTGTGTTTACTCAAGGAGGAACAAAGGGATTCCATGGTGGGGAAAGAGTAGGAGGGACAGACAATTTTTTTTAAAAAGAGAAAAAATAGTTACAGTGAAAAATCAAAAAGTATAAATAATTTAAAAGAACTTTTTTTAAGGTAAAAGGAAGTTGGCTTTCTTTTTTTGGGGGGAGGGACACACACAGCTGAAAAGCGGGGGGGAAGATCCACACAGGAGGGAACAGAAGAATCCTAACTAAAAGACAATAGCTAAGAAAACTAGAAATGCATGATGCTGAGAATAGTTAACGGAACAGGCACAAGAGAGGGAGCACAGGAATAAGAGCACAGACAAAGCAGTTAATAATAATAAGTTAATAATAAGGAAGGCCTTATCCTTCAAGACTAGAAAAGGACTGATTAAGAGATAAATATATTTAGAGAGAGAAACAAAGGGCAGCTAGGTGTTGTAGATAAAGCACTGGGCTTGCAATCAGGAAGACTCCTCTTCCTGCGATCAAATCTGACCTCAAACATTTACTAGCTGTGTGACCCTGGGCAAGTCACTTAACCCTGTTTGCCTGAGTTTTCTCAACTGTAAAATGAGCTAAAGGAAATGGGAATATCTTTGACAAGAAAACTGCAAAATAAGGGGCGGGGCCAAGACAGCAGAGTGAAAGCAGTGACTTGCTTGAGCTCTCCCCCAAACCTCTCCAAATACTCATAAAAAATGGCTCTAAACAAATTCTGAAGCAGCAGAACCCACAAAAAGACAGAGTGAAACAAATTTCCAGCCCAAGACAACCTGGATGATTGATCAGAAAGGTGTATCGCGCCGGGCTGGGAGCGCAGCGCAGCAGCATGGGCGTGCAGGCTGCAGCAAACCTGGAGCAGGCCTCAGAGGACTGAATCACGGGCAGCTATGGAGGTTTCTAGACTCCTCAATCCACGAATGCCAAAGACAACTTAAAAGGTCAGTGGGAAAAGTCTGTTTCTGTTGGTGGTCAAAGAGGAAGGCAGGGTCTCAGCTCCATTCCCCAAGAGCCTGGCATTGGGGGGGGGGCACGCTGCTTCCCGAGCTTCCGGCCCACACACTGAGGGGGAATCCAGTGGCTGATCAGAGAGGGACTGTAGGCATCTCTTTGTCAGTGCTGAGGCAGGAATCTCTTGCTTTGCCAGTGCTTGGATCTGGGTCACAGTTCTGGGTGGCGGTCCTGGGGTGAGGAGGAGCACTGGCGTGCTGGAGCCTGTAGTGGCCGGAGAGGAACCCCTCCTCACAGTTAAGAGAGAAAAGATGCTTGTGGTCACTCACAGGCCAGGAAAGAAAGAGTAAACACCTCGACCCTTATCATACCACCTTGGAAGAACTGAAAATTTACAGGTCCCTACAAGTATCTCTGAAAACAGCTACACAAACCCCTGAAGCTTGGGACACTACACTCTCCACATTGGAAGCAGACTCTTACCTTAGTTAACAAGGAGTTTAAAACTCAAGTAACTGGCTGGGATCGTGAGTAAGCAGCGCAAAAAGAGTCAGACTATATTATCTTACTTTGGTGAAAAAGAAGATCAAAATATACAACCAGAAGAAGACAACAAAATCAAAGCTCCCACATCCAAAGCCTCCAAGAAAAATATGAATCAGTCCCAGGCCTTGGAAGAGCTCCAAAGTCATTTTGAGAAGCAAGTAAGGGAAGTAGAGGAAAAACTGGGAAGAGAAATGAGAGTGATGCAAGAAAATCATGAAAAACAAGTCAACAGCTTGCTAAAGGAGACCCAAAAAAATACTGAAGAAAATAACACCTTAAAAAACAGCCTAACCCAAATGGCAAAAGAGGTCCAAAAAGCCAATGAGGAGAAAAATGCCCTAAAAAAAAAATTGGCCAAATGGAAAAGGAAGTCCAAAAGATTACCGAAGAAAATACTTCCTTAAAAATTAGAATAGAGCAATTGGAAGATAGTGACTTTATGAGAAATCAAGACACTGTAAACAAATCCAAAAGAATGAAAAATTAGAAAACAATGTGAAATATCTCATTGGAAAAACAACTGACCTGGAAAATAGATCCAGGAGAGAGAATTTAAAAATTATTGGACTATCTGAAAGCCATGATCAAAAAAAGAGCCTAGACATCATCTTTCAAGAAATTATCAAGGAAAACTGCCCTGATATTTAGAACCAGAGGGCAAAATAAAAAAAAGAATCCACAGATCTCCTCCTGAAAGAGATCCCCAAAGGAAAACTCCTAGGAATATTGTAGCCAAATTCCAGAGTTCCCAGGTCAAGGAGAAAATATTACAAGCTGCCAGAAGGAAACAATTCAAGTACTGTGGAAACACAATCAGGATAACACAAGATTTAGCAGCTTCTACATTAAAGGACCGCAGGGCATGGAATATAATATTCTGGAGGGCAAAGGAGATAGGATTACAACCAAGAATCACCTACCCAGCAAAACTGAGTATAATCCTTCAGGGGAAAAAATGGTCATTCAGTGAAATAGAGGACTTTCAAGCATTCCTGATGAAAAGACCAGAGCTAAACAGAAAATTTGACTTTCAAATACAGGACTCCAGTGGAACATGAAGAGGTAAACAGGAAAGAGAAATCATAAGAGACTTATTAAGATTGAACTGTTTACATTCCTGCATGGAAAGATGATATTTGTAACTCATGAGAACTTTGTCAGTATTAGGGTAGTTGAAGGAAAAAAATTGTATGTATGTATATATAGATAGATAGAGGGCACAGGGTGAGTTGAAGATTAAGGGGTCATATCTGGAGAATAAAATTAAGGGATGAGAGAGGATGATACTCGGAGAAGAAAGGGAGAGGTAGAATGGGGTAAATTATCTCACAAAAAAAAACAGAACAGAAAAGTCTCTCACAGTGGAGGGGAAACAGGGAAAGGTGAGAGGGAATGAGGGAATCTTATTCTCATAGGATTTGGCTTAAGGAGAGAATAACATACATATTCAATTGGGTATGGAAATCTGTCTTACCCTACAGGAAAATAGGGGAAGAAGGGGACAAGACAGCAGGGGGGTGATAGAGAGGAGGGCAGATTGGGAAAGAGGGTAATCAGAAGCAAATACTTCTGAGGAGGGACCGGGTCAAAAGAAAGAACAGAATAAATGGGAGGGCAGGATAGGATTAAGGGAAATAGAGTTAGTTTTTCACAACACGTCTACTAAGGAAGTTTTTGCATAACTGCACATGTACAACCTATATTGAGTTGCTTGCCTTTTCAATGAGGGTGGGTGGGGAGGGAGGAAGGGAGAAAATTTGGAACTCAAAGTTTTAAAAACACATGTTTTAACAAAACCCCAAAATAGGGTCACAAAGAGTCAGACACAACTGAAAAAAAACCTCACAACTGAACAAAACTTTACAGAAACAAAGGGTGGGAGTTGCCTCAGATCCTTAATCCAGCCCCAACTGCTTAAAGACTGTGTGACCCAGGGCAGGTCACTTAATCTTTGTCAGCTTAAGTTTCTGTAAAATGGGGTAAAAATGACACCTATCTCCCTGGATTGTTGTGAGGATAAAAGCAGATATTCATAAAGCACTCTGCAAACCTTAAGGCACTATATAAACACTATCTGTTATTATATAAATTCTAGCTATTATTGCCACTACTACAACGTTAGAAAGGCTCATTCTCAGTAAACTAGGAGGCTAGGCCTTATGAGAAGGGTAATGTGGGAGATGGATGTTTGAGGAGAAAAGAAGATTAACAATAATCATTGCAGGATCTTCTAAATTATTTTCTCACCAGCAATCATGAGCAAAAACAAACACTCTGCTAGTTCTATGACTACGGGAATATGAATACTAAAACTTAAAATCTGGTACATAATAAAACACATACCTGATAAAAACTTAAGAACAATTAAAGGGAAACACACAAAAACAGACTGACACAAATGCCAATAGACTGTAGGTAGGAAATGTAATAGCAAGGAGCCAGGAAAAGAAAAATAAATTCCCATTTGAAAAATTCTAACTTACCCGTTTAATACGTGTTCAAATAAATGGACTTGTCCATCTCTGCAAACAACAGCTAACTTTACAGGCTAAAGGAGTAAGTCAGAATGCACTGATTATTCTAACCGGAATCAAACATTCAACAATTTCCATTATTTATTAACATACTAACTGTCTGCCACAAACTAATTATTTCCAAACATCTACACCTCCTCTAAACTGTAAATTCGACAGATGCTCTTTATATCATGACGGGAAAACACTAAGTAAGGCAGACTTTTAGTATATCATTATAGGAATATTTAGTTATTATAATACATGGTTAAAATTTGTGATCTAGAACTTCTGCACACACAACAAAGGTAACACTATTATTACCAGAGTGGTAGACAGAGATACACAAATGGGGTGAAAGGCAAAGGTATGCCTAGGCAATGTGGGCTCCTCCTGTTTATAGCTATTCCAGGTCTCTAAGCTCCAAGACAACTAAAGACACAATTCTGCAGATGGAGCTTGGCTAAACAGGTCTTGCTTTAAATGACTGCAGAGTTTCTTGGGAATAGAAAACGTGTGGAGATATTACCATAAGGGAAGCAGTGAAAAAATGAGGCTTTGACACATCACTGCTAAAAAGTTGCAGACTCCCTTTACTGATACATACCAACAATTCATATACTTAGAAAGTTAAACAAAAATCTGGGGAACAAATGAAATAGGCAACATTTTGGGGGGATGCATTCAAGAAACTAAAATCACTGTTAACCTAGGAATTTTAAAATGTAATAGATATCAGCTGGATTGCTTACAGTATTCATAGGAACACTATATTCAATATGGAGGGTCAAGAAAATTAGAAAAAGTGGGAGTAAGAAAATAAGTTTTCACTTCCCTGACTGTTGTCCTGAATAACCGAAAGAAGGTGCTACCTCAATCACTCCTACCCACCATCTGATGTTAGAGGCAAAGTAAGCTCATTCATTTCATAACAAAATATTTCTATGAAACAGAATGGGAAGACCCTGAAAAACTATGGCATAAAGTTAACATTATATAACTATCAAGATCCTACTACTTTTAACATTTCATATTATCCTGATTCTTTAACAGTTCCAAATGAGAACCTAAACAAATAAGAAATTTACTTCATTATAACAGTTTAGAACTAAACACAAGTATGCAAAGTGGAAAGCTCGATGCATTTGTAGTCAAGAACATAGGTTCCAATCCTGGCTCTGCTACTTACTACCTGTGTGACCCTGGACAAAGCACTTCCCCTTTCTTGGTTTCAGATTCCTCAACTGGTAATATGATTTTAAATGATCTATATGATTAGAATTATTCTACATAAATTTCATGCCTCTTGATCAATTTTACGCACCCATTCTAAAATGTTGATTTTGTACTTATTGAAGGTTGATAAACCTTAAGAAGAAAAATGTGAATTTTTAAATGGCAAATTTTCATTCTGAAAAAAGCAAGAATTCTAGGGGGCTGCACTCAGAAAATTAAGTTTCTTAATTCTGATTGTTATGTACAGAATAGTGTCTATGCTTTTCAAACAAAAGTGTTAACATAGAAATCATCAGGTTTGTCACTGGCTACATTCCTTAAAACTGAAATTCAGAATTACATACAGTCTCAGACGGTTTAAAGTAGACATTTAAACTAGTTGTGATGCAAGGTACGATCATATTGTAAAAAAATGTCATTTTCAGCAACCTTTAGGGAAACTGCTACCACCTTTGAGCCTAGAACATCCAAAGTAAAATTCAACATTCTGGAATTTTGTGCTGCAAATGAAGTATCAGGCAATGTAGCAAAAGACAGATTTGTCCTGTTAATAAAATCTTTTAAAATAACTATCCATTCCAAATTGAGTCCAAAATGTTCTAATGAGATTTTCAGTGGAAAGAGCACTGAGCCCAGAGTCAGGCAGACCTGACTTCAAATTCAGTCTCAGATACTCACAGCTGTGTGACCCTAGGCAAGTCACTTAACCTCTGTCTGCATTAGTTTCTCTGACCGTAAAATGGGGGTAATAAGTATTAGCACCTCTCTGGCAGGGTTGTTGTGAAAATCAAATTAGATATTTGTAAAGTGCTTAGCACAGTACCTGATACATTTCAAGTGAATATTATATGCCTATTTTCCTCCTCCTCCTCTGCCTCATTCTTTACTCAAAAATTTCATTAGTGATTTTATAACTTTTCTAAAATATCGTAACAGATTCACACACTTCACTCTTTTTGGCCATTACCAAAACTGTGATCTTCCCACCACTCAGGTTTGTATACGGCTCACAAACCCAGCAACATACTGCATCTTGCAAACTAGGATAAAAAGGAAACAGCATTTCTGAACAGTCAAGACCAAATTATCCAGTAATTTTACCTCCTCTTTGTTTTCTGACAGAGTCAGGTCAATGTACACTGGTTCATCAGTAACTGTAAAAGACATCACTGCATTCTTCTCTTTATTTTCTGACCGAACTTGCCTAGGATACATAAACCAACATTTATCCGGTGAGATGCAAAGAAGATGGAAACATCTAAAGAAAGATCATATTACTAGACTCCACACAGAATTAACCAATAAGCCAAAGTTAAATGGAATAAAAATGAAAATGAAACTATTCTATCACTTAAACTGGTTGCGTGGGAAAACTAAAAGCATCTATCAATACTACTTGGCAGACACAGTAAGCAATAGCATAGTTATACAATAAACATCTCATAGATTTAGGGCTGAGGACAATAGTAGGAGCAGCATCTGTTTTATACAGGCTGGGCTGGTCCACTCAGGGCACCTGAGACACGAAAGGCCTGGCCTCTGCCGAGGGGATGTTGGAGGTTTAGCAGATTTCCTGTTGCCAGATGGGGATACTCACCCAACCTAGCACTGTTAACTGTGCATCAGTATTCTTTTTAGTCATTCTATGGTAGTTTTCATTGATTTTTATGGTCCACAAATGTTTCTCCTAAATTGCATTCTAAATGTGCACCAAAATCACAGCAGGAGTTAGGCCTGGCTGAAAATAAAGACCTTAGAGGCCATCTGAGGCTACCCTCTTCCTTTAAAAAAATAATAAATGAGGAATTGAGACCTAGAGAGATTAAGTGATTTCCCAAAAACCATACAGGTAACAAGTAGCAAAAGAACCAGCATCTGTCCCAAGTTCACTTGCTCCAAATCTAAACAGTTCTTTTCCTTGTGGTTATACATGCTAAGGTTGTATTTCTCTAGTAAGCAAATACTGACAGTTCAATTACTAAAAATTTTGAACATATATTATTCAATTTTGTATGTGTTCATAGAAAAGAGATTTCTATTTACTCAAAATTCATTACTTGGATTCCTAGATCCCAAAATCAAATCATCTCTTTCCCCTCACAAATTTAAGACTATAGACAGAAATTGCCTGATATTAACCAGTCTATATTACAGATGCCAGTTCTTCCTTTCGTTAATATGAAGGGAGGTTCAACTCTGGTATAAAGAAACTCTGTGACATTTGGAAAATATAATAAATATTTTTGACAAAACATGAAGGGAAATAACACTAAACAGTTACAACCTCTTAGGCCAAAAATAAACTACACACACATTTAAAATATAGGCATATTTCGAAGTCTTCGTATAGTTTTTCAAAACCGACATCTTTATTACTCATTTGGCCTAAAACTGAGGCACCTAACTGCCTAAAAGCGCAAAAACTACAGTCTCAACGCTTGCAAACAATGCACCCCTCCCCCCCCCAAAAACGAAAACATGAAGTGCTCACCCACTTTGGCAACTGCAAAAACAATGTCCTTGTGTACACCTCAGGGATAAAAATCAATCCAAAGTTTACAGCCCAGTTTAAAAAATGTCAGTAACAACAAGGACTGCTATGTCTTACCCGATGATTCTGAAGAAAGACAGAAGACTAGAACATAGGAATTAAACAGTAAAAAAGGTCTAGAAAGGAAAATTTTTCAATTCAAGGACATGGTTCTGGAACTACAGTCACTATGATACTGACATAGAATCATCACCTATAATCAACCAACAAGCATTTGTTAACAATATTTATCAAATGCTTTTATGTCATGTACTGTTCTAGATTCTAGAAACACAAGGCACAAAAACTGAAAAATTCCTCACTTGCAATGAGGTAGAAACTATGCTACGTATGCTTCATGGCACACGAAAAGGAAATAGTCCCTTTCTTCAATGAGCTCACGTTAGACAGAAGCCAAGAGATATGGGTTTTGAGATCTACCTCTGCTATTTATCCGTGATCATCTGCAGCTCTCAATCTAAATCCGCTTCATGTGTAAAATAGGGATATGATTTAAACTACATTAAAGGGGGGGATAATATGCTATTTCTCTCCAAAGGCTATTGTGGGCATCATACGAAATCATGAATGTTAAGTGTTTTGTAACTCTAAAGCACCGTGATTATGTGAAACTACTGTTATTTTATACGTATAATTTACAGTCTCTTTATATTACTGAACTACTCAACATCCTTTAGAATTTCTGCCATTTAATTTCCCAACTCGGAGGAGAGAAGCAAAATTACTTAGCATCTATAAAATATCTAGACTATTTCACATTAGTTTCTATGTTCTAGTAATGTTTCCAAAATATCTGTGAAAGTTACAATCCAAAAATAAGTATTAAAACACACTGGGAGTCAGCATTAATTCATAAAACTTTTTACCTAACTTCTAATGTAAGAACTCAGGATTTGAGTCAAAAAATGTTAATGACCACTTATTCCAGAGCAATTTTGGTCTTTAAAAAAGCTGGTTTGAAGGTAAATCAAAATATAAAGTGTTTATAATAATATTGTAAATAAGGATTGATGAGTATGCTCAGACACAGCCAAGGAATTTAATGTCCTCATTCAATTATCGGTTTGAGGAAACCACAGTTGCATGTCATCATAGCACCAATCCAAAATGACCTATACCTAGGTCCCTATTTAGTGCACAAATGAATCTACAGAATTGGCTGCATTATTCAGATGCACATTGCATGATTCCACTGAGCTAGAACAAATTACTGACTTTTACATAATCACAACTTCAAATAACGCAAACTGGAATACGTGCAACTACTTCCTAGGATTCATTATTTGTTCTTATTGGGGTGTGTTTACAGAATTATGAAGATCTCTTAATAGAGAAATATTTATTATCAATCAGCTTCTTGCAAACTCAGAGAAAGAAAAACAGACTGGGGATGAGGAAAACAAGTTTATCCTTGTCAAAGACAAATTAATAAAAAATCTGTCAACTTAAAAGTTTTTTTCAAATTCTTTTATCACCTCTACCCATAAGTTGGAAGATCCTTATAAAAATGAGAGACACAACAAAATCCCCATATCAGAACAAAGTCAGTCATACTTTTTAGATTCACAAATGGCATGTTTTTTTAAGGTTTTTAAACAATTTCTTCCAAGTGAAAAGAAATACATACCACACGTTAAGTAACCGGTCATGTACTGCTCCAGACAAGAAATAAAGGCCAGTAATTCCGTCAAAGGGCTGACTTTCATTAGGAGGTCTTATAGTTGTGAAATAAGTGATGAAACAGATGTTGCATGACCTGTGAAATGCTAGAGAAAATTAAATTTCATTAGGAAAAGGTGGTTCTAAAGCAATTATACCAAAGAGTCTGGACATTTCTTTCAGCTACAAATTGTAATAAACAATAGGTATAGGTGATCACAACTAAATGAAGACAATTATTCTGAATTACTACTATACTTGGAACTAGTTTGACAGACTTCTTTGTTCTCCAAGTCCCACAGTTTGACAGCTCAAGCAACTGAAGGTATTTATGTTGCACTCTTTAGAATTCTTAGGAAATAGGGCATCTGCCTAAATTATAAAAAACTACAAAGTATTCCTTAATAACCCACATGTCCTCCCCATAACCCATGTTTCCTTACATTTCACAGCAGAAAACCAATTTCTTAATTCTACCACAAAATCAAAAGGGGTACTGGATATGCTCAGACACAGCCAAGGACTTAGATGTCCTCATTCAACTATCAGTTAAGTTGAAACCACAATTTAGCATCATCACAGCATCAAATCTCAGTAACCCCAAAGAACTTTTTCTCTAGCCAGCATAAAATCTGTATTTGATTTTAAACAGTAATTTTCAGTCTAGAAAACAGAACATTTATGGTTAGCAGTACAGTAAAAGCTCATTAATTCAAACTAACCTAAATCAAAATCTATAGTAATTTAACTTGTCATGTACTTAGCTTTATACTATTGTTAAAAAAAAAAATTAACACCAAGCAAATTAAAATAAAAACAAGATTTCTGGGCACATATTTGTTCTACTTAACAAACTATATCTAATGGACTTGAGCAAAGTCATAGTGAAATGATTCAGAGACTTCAGAGCTAGAAGAGAACTCAAGAAAATCATGTTGTCCAATCCCCTCATTTTACACGTGAGAAAACTGAGGGCCAGAAAGGCTGTGACTTGACCAAGATCACAAAGAGAGTAAGCAGCAGGACTATAATTAAACCTAGGCCCTCTGACTCCAAATCCAGTGTGTAAATAACACTGCTAATTCTAATTGAATCTACTGCTATCAAAACTTACTTGGAAACATTTCCTTGGTGGCTGATTCCAGTAACCCAATGTACTTACAAATATCTATTTTGTTAATAATAAAAATAATTCATACTTTCCCTAATTCAAAATGATGTTCCTCCCAAATTAGTCTGAATTATTGTGCTTTTACTATATTTGCACCTAGTTTGACTCACTCACTCTATAGACTTCTTTAGTCTCCAAATCCCATAGTTTGATAGTTCGACCAGCCGAAAGCAACATTTTCCCATCAGGGCTGATGCACAAAGCACTGACACTGCTGATGTCACCTTTCCATTTGCTGTATTACAGAGAGAAAGATTGCAGAAAATTATTATTTTCATTCCTTTGCAGTAGTAAGCCGTAACAATGAAAGCTGCCATCAAGAGCTTCATGCTAAGCAGTGTTCCTTGAAAGCCAAACCTTGTGTTCAGTTGTGCACAAGCAAAACTGACCTAGCACACTGTCATTCTGTCCCAGCACAGCCCAGGCCCAGCCCTGAGAAAACTTGACTGGCTCCTGTCCAAATAATACTAGAAGTGGATCCTTTCAGTAGCTTAAGAAGGGCAGGCAGATGATTCCTTCAAGGTCCTGTCTCCCAGTGATCTACAATCTAGTTCTTTTTGTTGTCCCTGACATCAGCCCCATCCCAATCATGTCTGGGTCACACACTAACCTGAGCTTTCAGTCTTTCAGCCCAAGGTAGATTTCATGTTGGTGTGGCTGCTAGCATTCTCATCTCCTTAGAAAACATGTTTCCTAATCTTATTTCCAGGTGTAGGCCCCTGCTGGAGGAAAGCATCAGGGGGTAGTGCAAGAACGTGGGACTACAAGTCAAGAGACTAGGGCCTCATCCCAGCTCTGTAACCTTGAGCAAGTGCTCAAACCTCTCTAGACTTCAGTTTCCTCATCTGTTGAAGTATAAGATATTTTTTCAGTGCTATGTTTCTATGCTTTCTCTCCTAGACTTCAGGGCACTCTGACCTTGTTGTCAAATCCTATGCCCTACAGAAGTCATTTACAGATTTGGTCCTATGGAACTGAGGAAGTTGGTGTTGCCCAGCTAACCATCTGAAGGAGTCTAGGACAATTTTACACACTGTCCAGCACCAGTATCACCCCTGTCCCCAAGAGCACCTCAAATGCTGTCTGAGTGTCTATTCATTACAAGAAATTTTTTTTTAAACTGAATCTCTATTTCACTCCGAAGAGTGCCAACTATATTTCATTTATTATCTCTCAATGTTTACAAGCTGAGTTCAGTATATATTCTATATAATCACCCCAAGATCCCTCAACCCTCTCATTATGAAATACATTAAGATGAGGAAACCCTATGTAAGTAGTTATTTCTGTATTTTCCACAATTTTGCAGAACTTCTCTTTGACTTTCTCAAGGAATGGCTGGATAGCATTATCAACAATCAGGTTTCCTTTTTTCTTAGAAAATTACAAATTTAATAGTCACCAAGAAAAACAAACCAAATGGCAAAATCTTACCTAAAGTACTTAGAATCTGAGAAGGAAAAACTAAGAATTAACAAACAAGCAAATGAGATTAAGAATTTTCTTAATTTTAACTGGCAAAAGAAAAAAGGGAACAAGCTATCAGCACACCTGGGAAAAGAAATACAACTTTTACTTCAAGAATAGTCTTCCAGGGGACAGCTAGGTGTGCAGCGGATAGAGTGCTGGCCCTGAAGTCAGGAGGACCTGAGTTCAAATCCAGCCTCAGACCAAACACTTGACACTTACTAGCTGTGTGACCCTGGGCAGGTCACTTAACCCCAATTGCAAAAAAAAAAAAAAAATTAAAAAAATTAAAAAAATAAAAAACTTTGTGGATCTGCTTTTTCCTTCTCTTTTTTATCCTTTTAAAAGGGATGACCTTCTGGCAAGGGGAGAAGGAAGAGATATTTTTTGGAAATCAAAGTGGCATAAAAACAAAAGCTAGAAACTTTAAAGAAATTAAGATGCTTTGGTTAGAACAAATTTTTAGCTCAAACTGTCTATGCTACAAGTCTTTAATTCATTACCTAAAATTATCTTTTAAAAAAAGCTGACAAGCTATATCCAGAACACAGTTGTTTTTCTATTCAGACTATACAGCAGTGATCTTTTCACTGTCAAACTTCTAAAAGAGTTTTATATATCAAGGAATCTCTAATTCCTTTCCTAATCACTGTCTCCTAAATATGCTAAAATCTGGCTTCTGTAACCAACATTCTCCCGAAAACTGCAATCTAGTCTATGAGCTCCAAATCAAACTTTCTTTTTTCCTTCAGGCCTCATTTTCACCTCCTATGTTGTTTTTGATACTATTGATTTATGTGTCCCCCAACCCACCTGGCTGCTGTGGCAGGACCTATCCTTGTTCTACTTATACCTCTCTCTTGCCATTTGATGGGATCTCTTTTCTTTCCTCCCCCAGCTTTATCAAAGACTCAGTTTTGTCCCCTTCTTTCTAATTTCCACCACCCCTACCTGAAGGACCTTACTCTCACAGATTCAACTTATATGTCTACACAAATGATTCCCAATACTGCCACTCTGTCCTTGAGCACATTTCCCTACTCTTGGACTGTCAAATGCCACATCTAAAACCAAAAGACAACATGGTTCAGTGAGAAAACCATCAGAACACAGCAGCAGTACAGGAAGGATGTGCAAGGGCCTCCAAGTCAGGCAGATCTGGTTCAAGCTCCACCTTTAACACTGGATATGCAATCTTCAAGCAAGTTACTGAAGTGTCCCAGGCTTATAAGACTAAGTTGTGGATCAGCTAGTGATTTGTTTTAGCACAAGGAGTTTGCCCCAGGAGTCTATTTTTGCCAATGAAATCACAGATTTGGACCAAAAAAAAAAATACCTAATTTGGATCCAGGAGGCATGGGTTCAATTTCTAGATGCATGACATAATAAGGAGTTCACTCCCCTTCTCTAAGGCTGTTTCCACATGCATAAAACTGGGATAAATAATGTGTGTACCATCTATTTCATACAGTAGTGAGGAGAAAGCCCTTGGTAAAAAATAAAAGGTTGGATTGGGACAGCTAGGTGGCACAGTGGATAGAGCACCAGAACCTATAATCAGGAGGACCCGAGTTCAAATCTGGTCTCAGACCAGATACTTGACACCTACTAGCTGTGTGACCCTGGGCAAGTCACTTAATCTCAAATGCCTCAACCCCCCCCCCCAAAAGCTAGATCAATGTGGGAAATTATGAACCAAATTCATCATATTGCTCCCCAAACATGCACTCCCTAACTTCCCTATTTCTATGTGGCAGTACTATCACTCCCCTGTTAACCCAGGTTAAAAACTTAGATATCCTGATTATTTTTCTCACCCCTACCTCTCTCCTTCAGCCACTAAGTCTTCTTCAGTCTTCCTTCGAAATGTCTCTCATATTTGTCCCTTCCATTCCCATTTCAACCATCTTCCAGGAGTAAGGAACCTATGGCCTCAAGGCCACATGTGGAAGGCAGAAACCTTTTGACTGAGTCCAAATTTTACAGAACAAATCCTTTTATTAAGAGGATTTGTTCTATGAAGTCTGGATTCAGTCAAAGAGCCACACCCAAGGAGCTAGAGGACCCCATGTGGACTTGAGGCTACAAGTTCCCCACCCCTGGGCCTTAGACCCTGTTCAAAGCCTTGCCTTTCAGTAATTGCCTCTTTAAATTAAAGCATCTGTAGTTTCTCTTTCCTTCAATTCAAACTGCCAGACTGTTTTTTACCAAAACACTACTTTAATATCACTATTGGAGTCAAAAACTTTTCAGTGGCTTCTCAATTTTGCATTTAGAGTCTTTTACAATTTGTTTCCCACCTACCTTATCTCCCAAATACCCCAAACTCCAAAATTGGACTTATTGCTCCCTCACCATCATCCTGCATTCTTGCACAATTATCCAAATTCTAATTATCTTTTGAGCTTTATTTCTGGTCTGCCAAAATATTTCCTTTTCTTCTCTGAATTCGGGGGTGTGTGTGTGTATGTGGCCTTGAAATAGCTTTTTCTATCTGTCATTTGCCTTTTGTCTCTTTTGTAACTTCTGAAGACTTCTGTCTCTTTTTCCAGCTAGATGTTAAGTTCCTTGGTAGCAGATACTATTATCTTAAACTCTGGTGTACCCCTGTAGTACCTAACAAAGCGGGTTTATGAAGAGCTACAATGGCATACATTATCTGTTGATCTGTTAAACTCCAACTCAATTCTAAGCAGTCCTGGAATCCTTCTTTTGAAACAAAACCATCTCACTTACCACTTTACTCTGCAAGTCTGTGTATTCCATTCCACAATATGTTTATCATCTGAACAGCTATACAAACAATCATTATCTTGGTGCCATTGTATGCAGTTTACTTTATTGTCATGTCCACCGCTCTGGAGAAGGAAAAAAATATTAAACACAAGCAAAATATAAAAGTCAATAAAGTATTTACTTAAATGAAATCAACATTCACAACTTCATTGTCAATTTACATCCATTATACACCTGAAAACTAACTTACCTACAAGACAAAGTAATATATTTTCTCCCCTAGCTGTAATGAATCAGTTTATACCACCTTCCAAAAAAATTTCCAAGTGAAAACATACACAGCATCCAATTGTTTTTTAAGATCTGATAGTCTATGGTCAGTTCTAAACAGGGCAAAATACTTATGAGTAAACAACAGTAATATTCTTAAAAAAAAAAAAAACCAAACCAGTAAACACATATATTGAGAAATACAAAGAAACAATGCTTAAAACTTTACCCTATTGTATAAACTTTAAAATAGACTGTTTGTTGCATCAACTGTTGGGGTCGGGGAGGAAAGCAGAACTACATCCAGAAATCACTGATATAAAAATAAAAACATTATTTTTCAAATTAAAAAAAGATTATGTTGTTACTTCAAAAGAAAAATAATTTTCAAAAGCAGAATTTAAACACATTCTACCAAACTCCTAACTTCTCTTCTTCTACTTCCTAAAAGTTATTTTCTATGGGCTACATATTAAAAACGAAAAAAACCCTAATACATAACTATTACTCCCTCCCCAAAAATCCACAATATTTCAAAACAATTTAAATTGATATCATATATTATTTTTAAATCTTAAAAAGAACTTAAAAATTATGGATGCCAGCTTGCCATCAGTAATTCTATTTTTAGTCTTACCAATGGTTCCAATGGATTGTACATTTCCAGAGGGTAAAAATTCCAAGGTGAATATGAAACACCATTGATCAGGCTCCCAGTTTTAACGGATGTTAGTAAAAGGAGGACCAATAGTGGTCAATAATAAGTAGGATGCTCCTTTATAACACAGTTGGCCATATTTTGGAATTCTTCCCTTCTCCCAACTCCCAAAGAGTATAACTCTGTGGCCCAAGTAATACAATGTAGAGCAATTAAAGTTTCATTTTTCTCATGATGCTATGGCTACAGTGGCAGAGGAAAAAAAAGATGTAACAACTGGTTTAGAAAACTTAACTGAGTACCAATGGAAACTAATTGCATAACCAGTAGAAGTACCTCATTGCCCCTACTCAGACTCCAAGATTACCTACAGAAGGGGCAAGGAGGGAGAGAGACAGCCACTAACTCACTCATCTACCTCTACTTTGTTGTCCTCCCTCTCAGTCCTTTTCTGTCTTCTCCTTTTAGTCTATCTCCTTTCCCTATTATGAGTCACTCTTCCCTTCCCCAAAAAATTCAAAGAAAACATCTCTACGCCTACTATATATGTATTTTATCTAAAGTTGTTAACAAGAGAATATATCTTCTTCATCAACAGATATCATAATACAAATTGCTGGACCAAACAATCCAAGCTTGTAAGAGTTCTCAAAAGACAAAATTAATAAGTAACAAAATATTTATTACAAATTCCCAACAGTCCTCATAATCTCCTCAGTAAAGAAATACTGAAGTAAACATGACTACAGAAACTAAGCACTGATTGTTTTAATTCTTTATATATGCAAACAATCTATATGACAGAACCATTAATCCAAATTTTACTTACCCTCTCTCCTTAATAAAAGTTTGTCAATTGTTTTTAAATAAGGAATTCTCACTTATCCAAAATAAACAGAAATGGTATTATCTCATTGCCAGTTAATAATTACCATATGTAGCATATCCAATATACTTTGTATAAGAGAATTTTTCTAAGATAAATACTGACAGAAATTTCATTCCTACTCCATAAAGTTTCCAAAGATGAAATAATTTTCATTCTAAGCTTCTCAGTAAAGTAGCAAGGAGAAAAAAAAATTTTTTTTGAACCTCGTGGGGGAAAGAAGACCACATATTTCCACTCCTTTCTTCTTCCTGGACATTTTTGGTTGTTTGGTTTTACTGGTGAGTTTAGGTAGATTCATTAAGTGATTAAAATATTAAAAGGTGCCATGGGGTAAAAGGATATACAGAATATCTATAAATCGTAGAGTGAGCTAATAATTGTCCCTAGAAGGTAGGATCAAAGAAAATGACAAGAGCGCTAGTATTATTCAGCTGTCTCACAGACCAGAGATAGCAAATGTGCAGTTATCATTCATAGTATTGAATTTGGTATACCTGGATGTTATCTAAATGCTTTAGTAATCAAAAGGCTTCCTTGTGGGAGTCATTCTAGTGGGATTTTAACTACACACGTGGATTACCAATTTTCAAAGATTAAAAATCAAAACTCAAAATACTGAAGAAAAGCAATCAAAAAGATTCTAAGAGGAATGCTAATTATGTTTATTTATACATTACAGACAGATAAGGCGTAAGAAATTGGGGTGAAAATCTGTATTGATCCCATGATATAACCTGTAGTGTGTTATTCTTGCTTAAAACACTCCAAGCATTTATTCCATCTAAGTCTTATAAAAGTCGAGTAGAGAATATTGCCTCCTCGCTCCCTGACAGACAAAACTGTTACTCCAACAGTCCAGTTTAGATTAAGACCCAAACCAAAACCATAAGAGTTCATTATGCTAAGTTTCAAAAAGCATACTTACTACTAGTCTGCTCTGTAACTCTCCTTTCACCGTGTTGTATAATAAAATGCTACCGAACGCTGTACCGATGGCCAACAGGTCAACTTGGTCACTGTTTCCTACAGCTTCAGATTTCCTTTTTTTCCTCTGGGGACCTTCCTGGAAAACAAAATAAAAAATCCCCATAACTTTTTATAGTATTTCAAGGAGTCCTGCATAAAGTTTCAAGATAAGTTGCTAACAGTTAAAAGTTTAGATATGCTAAAACCCATTAACTAACAGAGGAGAGGCTCCTTACTGGGTCAAAATACAGAAGCCTTGACTGAAGGACATATGTTTCTCATGCTTTCCCACATATTGCTGAGATACCACTTAAAAAAGTCACATCATAGTAGCCAGAAGATAAACCCAATTGGAAACCCCACCTAAAGTACCTGGGGTCACAAATAGCTGAAAGAGACCCAGGAGATTCCTTACAGCTCTAAAGCTTTTTGGTTTTTAAACACATAAATGCATTTACTGAAAATCCAGGGATAGCAATGCACTGTATATACAAACTAAGATTTTTGGGACATTCTGTATTGAATATCTGTAGATGAAGGGTCACAAAGTTTTGATCCAGCAATAGTGTGCTAAAGAAAACAGTCTCTGAAGATGCTCTGGCAGATGTAGTTTAAGGATGACCAATGAAAAATGTCAAAGTTTTAATGTGAAGTTGTTTTTGAAGAATCATATCTAATGAAAGTAGACACAGATTTGGTTTTTTTTTTCCTTAGAGGTAGGCCATAAGAATAATTAACATAAGGTAATATTTCTAATGTGGGCAAGGTAATCAAAAATTCTCCAAGCCTCAAAAAACTTTTGCCATCTGCATGCCTTATGCTGTGGCTCTAATGAGAGAAACAAAGGTATAGTTAATTTTTGTTGAGGACCCCAAAATGTGACTTTTCCTACAGCCAGCTACTAGGTGACAAAAGCCAGAACTTGGGCCCAGGTCATCTGAAATTTGAATCCAGACTTATACGAATATAGATTTGGAGCTAGAGGGAAGTTAAAAGTCACAGTCCAACCCTCTCATTTTGCAAATGAGGAAAATGAAACAAAGAAGTTAAGTGATTTGCCTAAGGTCACATGGGCAGCAAGTGGTATAGCTATAACTCAAAACCAGGTCCTCCCACTCCACAAAGTACTTTTTTCTACTGTATCATGCTGGTTCCACGATGCCACCAACTCCATGGAAGCAAAAACCCCAATTATTTGCCTCATCCTTTCACAGTCCTGCCCCATTTCCCTTATTTCCTCTGAGGGGTCGCTTCTGTATTACTGCTCTCACTATTCCCTGAAGAAAATGTGAAAGGGCAAAGATGTTGAGAGCCAGTGTAAAGTCTTACACACAGAATGGATCTTAGAGTCATCTATTTCCATCCCCTTATTAATGAGGAAACAGGTACTAAGCAGAAGGGATTCATTCTCCAAATTCAATATTATTTCCACAGTACTACAATCTTCAAATTCTGATACATTCCAAAACTGCACAGCCTTCAGAAGGATTTAATTAAAAGCATTCAAAAGGAAGTATTCTATTCTCTTAGAGAAGCCTGAGTACTTCCCTCAACAAAGAAGGGTTTAAATTATACTTTAAAATCTCTGGAATTAACAACATATTGACACATCTATTTATTTTCTGGAATTTAATTCAACAAGCACATATGAAGTGCCTACTAAGTGCTGACTCAGTTCAGGAGGCAGCAGAACGAAGGAGAAGAAAGCCACAAAGGGCAAGCACCTCATTAGATATCTAGCCACATGTGTATAAAACCATAAAACTTACATTTCACTATTCTGTGAGATATAAATCACAAAATTATCTATTTTATGCAAAGAGAAGTATTACTTAAGTGCTCAGTACAGAGACAACAACATTCAATGCACTAAGAACTATGGGGAACCAAAAAGAATCTAGCAGCTGTCCTCAAAAAGCCAAATCTAAGGAGACAAAAATCAAATACACAGAAAAATGCAACCATATAACCAAACGCCTAAATAATGTTTCTAAGAGTTTTACATGAAAGTGTTGGGGTTAGTTGGTTGGGGCTTATCTGAAGGCAGGCTCCTGAAACAAGTTGCTTTAACAAGGGGAAAAAAAGCATTTATTAAATGCTAACTATGTGCCAGTAAGGGCATATTCTCTCTCAAAGCCAGATCCCTTAAGAGGTGAAGTTAAGTAGAAGCAAAAAGTTACATGAGCTGACTCTACAAGAGACTTCTTCTGTTCAAATCAGGAGAAATACTTCATGTTTGTGCGATTTGCAAGTGAACCAGACATGAAGAATATATGAAGCATGGGCAATTTCCTCTCGCTCCTCTAAGAAAACAATCCTTGAACTTTCTGCATTCCAAGAAAGGATATTTATGAAGAAGTCAGAGAAATCTCGGTAGATTTAAATGAAATGAGACACAGCAAAGTAGGATGAACTATAAGGAAAATTTAAAAGACGACCCCAAGGAAAACAACAGTGAAAGACTTCTAGACTTGGATCAATGCAGTGATCAATCACTATTTCAGCAGCCTGATGGTGAAGCATGCCTTCTATAGGTGGTGGACAACAGGAACAGAATGAGGCATACCTACATCAGACACTGTATCTTTTATTTAATTTTACAGATGTTACAAAGTAATTCTTCAAAGAGAAGAGAGAGTCATTCATTGTGAAGCAATAGCAATGTTTAAAAAAAAAAGAAATAGAAGCTTTCTTTTTATGAGGGAAGGTGGGAAAAGACCAGTGCTAAAGGAAAACTCTCACTATCAATCTAAGGTATCACATGCTTTACAATTTAAGTTGTAAGCAAAATGTCAATGACTTCTAAATTAATTTACTTAATGCTATACCAAATTTGCAAAAGGATATTTTACAGACCTAGAAAAAAAAATGATGAAATTCATATGAAGGAACAAAGGTCAAGAATCTCAAGGTAATGGTGAAAAGAGTGGTTAGTACCAGTACCAGTTTTCAAACTATACTACAAAAGTAGTTATCACTAAAATAATTTGGTACTGTTTTAAGAAAAAAATGAGAGGTTAATCAGATTAACAGATGAAACAGATTAGGTACATACACAACATACAAAAGTAAACAAACATAGCAACATAGTGTTTGATAAACCCCAAAACCCTAGTTACTGAGAAAGACACATTATTCGACAAAAACTGCTGGGAAAACTGAGCAGCATTCAGGCAGAAATTAGTTTTAGATCAACACCTCATGCCATTCATCAAGATACATTCTAAGTGGATGTGAACTAGATATAAAAGGTCACATCACAAATAAATTACAGGAGCAAGGAAGAAGTTCCCTTATGAATCTATGGTTAGGGGAAGAGTTCACGACTAAACAATACACAATCACCCAAGATAAAAGGACAATTTTGATTAAATGAAATTAAAAAGGTCTTGCACAGACAAATCTAATGTAGCAAAAACCAGAAGGGAAAGAAGTAACTGGGGAAAAAAATCTTTGCAACAAGTTTCATTAAAGATTTCATTGCTAATTTACAGGAAAAAAAATGGATTAAAACTTCTAAGAGCCATTCCACAACAGACAAGTGGTCAAAGGATGTGAGCAAGCACTTTTCAAAGGGAAAACAAATCCAAGCTATCAATAACTACATTTAAAATGCTCTAAATACATCATTGCACTATTGGTGGAACTATGAATTGGTCCAGCCATTCTGGAAACCAATCTGCAATTATGTACATAAGGTTACTGAAATGTGTCTGTGACCCAGTCAAACAACTATTAGGCTTATAACCTAAAGATATTAAAGAGAAAAAAGGATCTTCATGTACAATAAATATTTATAGCAGTTCTTTATTTACTCACTAATTTGTTCTGCCCATCCATTTATTTATTTATGACGTTCTTTTTTGTTAAACATATTGAATTCAAAATTCCCTCTTTCCCTCCCTCACCCACTGAGAAGGCAAGCAATATGATGTCAAGTGTACATGTGAACTCATGTGAACCATATTTCCCTGTTAGCCATGATGATTAAAAAAAGGCAAGAAAAATAAGGTAAAAAAAGTATGCTTTAATCTTTATTCAGCGTTTATCAGTTCTCTTTCTGGAGGTAGATTGCATTTTTGTCATGGGTCCTTTGGAATTGTCTTGGATCATTGTCCTGATCAGAGTAGCTAAGTCTTCACAGTTGATCACTGTTATAATATTGCTGACTTCACTTTTCATCAGTTCATATAAATCTTCTCAGGTTTTTCTGAAACCATCCTACCTGTCCTTTTTTATAGCAGGACAGTAACCCATCATAATCATAATACTATAATTTGTTCAGCCATTCCCCAATGGATGGGCATCCCCTTAATTTCCAATTCTTTGCCACCACAAAAAGAGCTTTTTAGCAGCTCTTAACATGGTAGCCACAACCTGGAAATTAGGAGACTGTCTTCCTATTGAGGAATAGCTAAATAAATTGTGGTATATCAATGTAACAGAGTATTACTGTGCCATAAGAAATGATGAAATCAACAGTTTCAGAACCAGGAAAACCTCTATGAACTAATGCTGAGCAAAGTGAACAGAGCTAGGAAAATGATGTATACAATACCATTTTGGAGAAAGATAACTTTGAAAGACTTTGGAACTCTAGTCAACATAATGACAAACCACAGGTCCAAAAGAATGAAGATGAAACACACAACTCACTTGCTAACCAAAGTGATGAATTTAAAATGCAGAAAAGAGACATTTTCAGACAAGATTAATGAAAGAATTTGTTTTGCTGGACAATGCAGCTATATATTGAGGGCTTTGTTTTTTCTTTTGTTTAATTTCCTCAACTGAAGGGAGAGAGGGGTAGTAGAAGGAATAGATGTTAAAAAAACAAAAACCAAATGCTTGAAGAAAAAAGATTTTACTAGCAAACTAATACTTGCTTCTCTCCAACTTTTAAGTTTAGCAAGGCACTTCAGGTGGCCGCCTGTTTTACCAGCATCCCTAACAATGAGGTAATCATGTCACTCACAACTTATCTCAACTACAATTTAAGCGTTTTCTTGGCTGATGAAGTCTAATGTTTTCATCACTGCCCTAGTCTAAGCATTACCAAACATCAAAAGTATTTATCAGTATCCATTAGATACGCTA